CAGCCAGGAGGGGTGTGCCTTGGCCTCCTCAGGGAGCGCAGGCAGCACACCGAGTGGCTGGAGCGCCGCCGAGTCCTCCGTGTCCGTGCCCTCCTCGACCTCACTCTCCTCGAACGTGACATCCGCCGACCTCGACCGACGAGAGGCTCTCGTCCGCCTGGGCCCAGACGTCGAGCGGCCTCTGCCAGCCTCAGGCTCGGGCGCAGCCTCAGCCTCGGGCTCAGGCGTCGGCGCCAGCCGCCGCGGATGCGTGTCGCCCGCAGCTTCAGGCTCTGCACGTTCTCCCTGCTGACTACGACCACGCCGTCTACGTCGATCGCGATCGGTACGTTCTCCGTGCTGACTGCGACTAGCCGCTCCACCCGTCGAACTGGCACGCCGATTTGCCTGCGGGGTTGGCGTCTGCTGTCTTCTGCCTGACGTCTGCTGCGGTGGCCCGCCACTGGCCCACGGCGCATGGGCAGGCATGGGGAAGCACACTCGACACAGTCTATCCTGCATCATGTTGGGCTCCCCGCACTGGTCGCACCACCACGCTGGCGGCGGGGGGGGGACGGGCCCGACCTGCTTGCCCTTGCCCTTTCCCATGCCGCCCCCTTTGCCTCCCCGATGTTGCCACGACATCGAACTGTGGTGTTCTCGTAGCCTCTGCGCTGCACTGACAACTCGTAGCAGCACGCGAACACTGGCGCGGGCCTGCCGATCACGGCGGTGCCACGCTGGCTCGCCTCCGCGGCCGCTGGGCCGCGCGCGAGCCCGCGGCGAGCGGGAACCCCGCGGCGTGCCGCCAGCAGCAATCGCGGCCCAGGCCCAGGCCGCCGAGCCGCGCAGCGGCGGGCGCGGGCCAGCGCGCGTGGCCGCCCGCCCCTCGTGAGAGGTTCGCTGTACCTGGTACAGATCCCAAAACCTCTCGAGCAGGGACGGCAGCTGAGGAAGGGAGGAAGGGAGGAAGGGAGGAGGAGGAGGAATGGAGGGAGGGAGGAGGAGAACGACGACGAGGGAGGGGGACGAGGGAGGAGGACAGGAGGAGAAGGAGGGAGAACGAGGACAGGAGAGAGGAGGAGAAGGAAGAGGAGGACGAGGAGAAGGAGGAGGAAGAGGAGGAAGGAGAAGAAGAATAAGAAGCAGAAGAAGAAGAAGAAGAGGAAGAGGAGGAAGGATGGCGAGGGAGGGGCGTCACGCCAGCAGCAGCCGTGGCAGCAACAGCAGGGCTCAAAAGAAAGAGGAGGAGGAGGAGGAGGTGGAGGAGGGCCCAGGTTGTGGTCCGAAAGCCGGGTGCCGGCGGCTCGGCCTATGATGTTCCAATAGATTTTTGCTTGGACCGCCAGAAAGAATCTCGAGCACCAAGAAGATACCGAATATGCAGATTTTTCACGTGTCGTGCCCTGGGGGGGCAACACTCGTTAGACACTTCGCTAGCGTGTCGGGCAGACACTGTTCCGACACTTTTCTGGGAATTCGATGCTGTTTCTGGGATGTAGCTTAAAGTACGATGGGAACAACATCAGGCTCGGTTCGATTCGGTCTTAGTCGGCTGCATTGGATCGGTCCCGTTTTCCTGCGGTGGCCGCGCCGCTGCGTCGCTCCACATGCTGCGCTCGGTCCGTCGGTGTTGGTCGGTTTCGGCTTCGCTGCCGGTGTTGGTCTGGTGTCGGTTCTGTTTCGGCCACGCGCGGAGGGGGTGGGGGAGGGGGGAAGGTTTCTTAGAAGGAGACTGCTTCTTAATAGGCGCGTAGCATTCCCCCTCCTCCTACCCCCTCTGCGCCGTCAGCTGGTGTCGCCGTGGACGTCTGCGGAGGAGGCGAAGGAGAATCAGCGGCTACCGCTTCCAGTGCTGACGCGCAACGGGCCCGAGTCCACGGAGTCCGTGGCCATGGGCCAGTTGCGCGCTGGCACTGGGATCTGCTGCGCATGGCGCGTGGCGCGGGACAGGGGTGAACAAATCCATAATCGGGGCCGCGGACCACGAGCCACAAACTACCAAACATCGAATTTGACGCGCACCCGGACCACGATTAGCAAAGCTTACACACGCAGCTCAGCCTTGGACCTAGGGCCACCAACGAATGAGTCCAGAGTTAACGCGCAACCAGGCCACGGCCCAGTGGCCACCAACAGCCGGATTAAGAATTGATGCCAACCTTCTCGAAGGTGACGTAGAATGGCCCCTACAGCGTCGATCGCTGCTTCAGGAAAATCGACGTGCAACCAGCCATTGTCCACGGGCCACGAACGACCATGTCCAGAGTTGATGCGCAATCGAGCCACGGTCTGTAGGACACGAATGACCAACCGTTGTTGAGATCCCATCTGCCACGAACGGCGCATCCCAATCGAAACACGACATCCCCTCTCACACACACACACAAACACACACATACACACACAAACACAAGCGCACAGAGCACACGAACACACACACACACAAGCACACACACTCGCTCTTTGGAGTCGCGGCCACAAGCGCAGCAACGCGGCGAAGTCAGTCAAGCGGTTGGATTTGGAAGCGGAGAGCTCGTGCCGGACCCAGCTCGTCGGCAGCAGGGCGTGTAGGGCGGTAAGGGCTCACCCATGGGGGGAACCGCACTGCACGACTCCGGGCAGCCGTGAGGGGTCTACAAAGGGGGGCCGCCATGGGCACAAAGGGGAGTCGATAAGGGACCAGGACGGGAGCGGAGGTGCACAGACGGTATTCGAGCGCTCTCAATGACAGTGGCGGACCTGCAAGGGTCGACAAGCACGACGCAGCGGCAATCCAGAAGACACGCTCGCATTCTTATGACGCGCCAGTGGGTTGCAGCAAGCCGTGACAACCTACCAGTGACACTGTGTAGAAAAATGGTCCAACATTGCGGGTACTTGCGCTGTAGACAGGACTCCCAGCGAGCGTCGGACGTAGCCGACAGCAACACACACACACACACACACGTACACACACCACCTACATACCTACATACCCAGAAAGTCACAACGGGTGTTGCAGTGTTGCTCACCTTTGTGCACAGGTCAACGGCCCATAACCAATGAAAGATCGAATATCATGACAGCCACTGGCCACGAAATACCGAAGCCAAAATTGCTGCACGAGCGCTTTACGAATTCGCACAGAACATAAGAGCGTAAATCGCCGCTGGGGGGACTGCATCGCAAATCCAATGGGACGCCATCGAAAATTCACACGGCATCCGTCGGGGCGAAATGCAAACGAAGCCAGGACGCCTCCGAAACCAAAATCGGGGTGCGTTCGGAACACCACCGAAATTCAACATGTCCACCGCTGGGGCAGCCTCGGGACACCACTGAAGCACCAGTACGCAACCGGATCACATTCGGAAGATGACGGGCGCGCTGGGAGTTTGATTCGATGTTTCCCCGACCGCACACCTCGAAGCGATGGCTTCAACTTTTGAGTGCGCGGCAAGCTCCCCGCGGCGCGATTTGAATATTGTCTGGTTGGTTGTGTGCAGACTTGTACGAAGCTGAATCAACATCTGAATCAAGCGAGACTGCGCTCCGTTGTACTGGACAGAGCAGGGCTCACGCTCGGAAGACCTCACTGAGGACCCGCCCTGGACATCAGGGCACCGCGACGGCGCAGCCCGTGGCAGCGGTCCATCGCCAGCCCGGGAGCAGCGGGAGCGGGAGCAGGAGGCCACACGGGCCACGGCAGATTCGCGTCGTGCCGGCGCGGCGGCGACCCCTCCGCGGGCGTGCAAGGTGGAGCGCCACCAGTGTTAAATCGGGCCTGTCCCCCTACAGGGGGATTTTCGACGAAAAATAGAAAATACCCCAACAATACTCAAAGAATACGCAAAACATAGTCTGGGGACTATTTTTTGCTTATTTTTTGACCTTGTTCGGGCACTTTTGGTGTATTTTTTATTTTTCGTCGAAAATCCCCCTGTAGGGGACCAGGCCCGACTTAACACCAGTGGCCCAGAATCGGCCAATATGGAACGAGACAGCGAGCGCAAAGCCGCCGATCGTTCCAGGTTGAACGACGCACGCGGTGTTAGAAAATTTACGCTGGGGTCGTCACGGAACGAGAGCCTGCCGTAGCGCAGCAGGGCCCTTCGGCATTCGCAAGCAGCTTCGCACTCACGTCGCGCACAGCACGAGACACGAAGCGACGATTTCTCAATGGGGGGGTTAGGGCTGCCGCATCCCGGCTGCCACAACCCCAACACACGGATGTGGTGTTTTTAATTTCCCTCCACATCCTCGTCGTCGTCTTCATCGTCATCGTGATGATCATCATCATCATCATCATCATCATCATCATCATCACCACCATCATCATCATCATCATCATCATCATCAGCATCGTCATCATCATCATCGTCATCATCATCAGCATCATCATCATCAGCCGCATCTTCAGTAATTACAGCAGCATTGTCATCCTCACCACCACCAGCAACATCATCATCATCATCATCATCATCATCAGCAGCATCATCATCAGCATCATCATCGTAGTCTTCATCATCATCACCATCATCATCACCATCACCCTCATCATGTACATGATCATCATCACCATCATCAGCAGCAGCATCATCAGCATTAGAATCATCATCATCGTCACCATCATCAGCATCATCATCAGCAGCATCCTCATCCTCAACATCATCAGCATCATCATCAGCAGCATCATCATCGTTACCAGCATCATCATCATCAGCCTCATCAGCATCGTCATCATCATCGTCATCATCAGCATCTTGGCTCAAGCCTGGCTCAAGACTCTAGGGATGGCGCAAGGCACATGAGCAGCGTAAACACAAAGTTTCGGACGGCCTTGAGCCATTCCTTGCGCCTGGTCCGCCCCAGGCGTCAGCCTGCCTCCTGGTTCGCCCCAGGCGAGCAGAGTTTTATTCTCTCAGTGCGTTTGATCCGCCCCAGGTTGCATTCTGCCTCCTGGTCCGCCCCAGGGGTGCAGCTTCTTCCGATGACAGGAATCATGGCCGGCATGGACCAGAAGGACAGCTACGTGGGCGATGACGCCCAGAGCAAGCAAGCACGGGGCCCTGACCTTGAAGTACCCCATCGGGAATGGCATCGTGAACAACTGGGACGATATGGGGGAGATCTGGCACCATACCTTCGACAACGAGCTCCGAGTGCCTCCAGAGGGGTACCCTCTGCCCTTCATGGAGGCACCCGTGGACCCGAAGGCGAATCGCGAGCGCATGCCGCAGATCATGGTAGAGACTCTAAACGTGCCGGCGATGTACGTCGCGATCCAAGCAGTGTTCTCGCTGTACGCTTCAGTCCGCACCACTGGGATGGTCATGGGTTCCAGCGACGGCGCGTCACACGTGTCGCACACCGTACCCATCTATGAGGGCTATGCGTTGCCGCATGCGATCTTGCGCCTGGATCTGGCGGTGCGGGACCCTACGGAGCACTGGGTGAAAATCCTCACCGAGCGTTGCTACTCGTTCATCACCATGGCAGGGCGACAGATCGTGCGCGACGTCAAGGGAAAAGCTTTGCTACATCCCGTTCGACTTCGACTCAGAGATGAAGGCCGCCATTGCGAGTTCCGACAAGGAGAAGACGCACGAGCTCTCCGACGGGAACATAACCATGGGCAGCGAGCGCTTCCGCTGCCCAGAGGTTCTCTTCCAGACTACGTTCCTGGGAAAGGAAACAGCGGCATCCCCGACACCACGTTCCAGTCGATATGAAGTGCGATGTCGGCCTCGGCAAGGACCTGTACGCCAACCTGGTGTTGTCTGGTGGCACCGCAATGTTCCCAGGCATCGGCGAGCGCATGACCACAGAGCCGACGGCATTTGCTCGTTACACAATGACAGTGTGGATCGGTTGATCGAATCTTTCTTCGAAGAGCATCTTCCAGCAGACGTGGATCTCCAAGGGGGAGTACGAATAGTCGGGCCCCACTATCGTGCAAAGGAAGTGCTTCTGAGGGCTTGCCTTTGGCAAATTTTGGGAGCCAGGGGAGCCAGGCGAGCTAGAATCGTCCGACGTGCTGGATGGAAGTTACGATCTTGTGCTAGATGCGCACGTGCAGGCCGTACGTTTGGCTCGCAGGCCCTCCTTGTTACAGTCAGCCAGAGGAGGCCACCACCTGGACGGCTTCAGAATGGCATGCAACTGGCAGCTTCTGCAGTACAGTTTGCATATGCCTTACCTGTAGACCTCCCTCCCCCTTCTCCCCTCTCCTCCCTCCCAGTTTGCATGCTCTGTTTACGTCCTTGATGGGCTGCCGCCGTGCCGGCCCACGCAGATGAGTTTGCGCCAGCCCGCCCTGGCCGCGGCGCGCCTGCGGCGTCGCAGGGGGAAGTCGCGTTTGCTTCCCCGTCCCCCCCTCCACCCCGCCCCCCCCTTGTTTCTCCCCCCGAAGCAATTGAGCGGCCAAGTGGCCCCACTGAGCGCCGCTGACAGCCATGGCGTTGGAGGGGAGCCATCGCCGCGTCTCGAGCGCTGGCCCGCTCCGCGCGCTCGCCCCTGCACCTGACGAGGGCACGTCAGTCAGCACCGCCGTGGCATTTTTAGGTTACTGTTGCGGCTGCGCTCGTCAATGGCACCAGCCGTCGCTAGCCTTAAGTCGGGCACGTCCCTCTACAGGGGGAAGATTCAAAACTAGTCCAGAAATAGTCTGGGGACGATTTATTCGACTGCAGGGGGACATGCAAGGGGACATGCCCGACCTGACGCTAGCCATGGAGGCGTGACTGGGGCGGTCCCGGCTCAGTCAGGCGCAACACTTTCGAGCGCAACGTTTCAAACGCAGCATCTCGAGAGGTATCTCTACTTTCGCGCGTGTTTGTCTTCGACAGCACGATCTCCGCATTGCTCTTAGGTCATTGCGGCTTCGGTCGATCGTTTTGTCACGGATCATCAAGGCTTCGGACTTGTTTTCTTTAATGCGTGCGTGCGTGCGTTGCCCCCGCTTGTTCCTCCCCCTCGTCTTCGTCCTCCTCGCCCCGTCCCCCGCCCTTCCCCGCTTGGCCTTTCACATTCGAATCGTCATATCTCTTCTCGCAAGCCATAGATTATCGCATGAGCTTGCCTATGGCGCGTCGGCTCGCGTAGCGATCCCAGTTTGCTTGGCGGTATTCTGCTTCACGCTACTGCGCCGATCACGCCGTAATGTGATTCAGTGATCGCGCGCTCCCAATTTCCTTCCCTCACAGGAAATAATCAAAACAACAAAAGGATCCTCATCATCACCATCATCATCATCCTCGTCATCCTCGCCATCATCATCATCATCATCATCATCATCATCATCATCATCATCATCATCATCGTCATCATAATCATCATCATCATCATCGTCATCCTCATCATCATCATCATCATCATCATCATCATCATCATCATCATTATCATCAGCATCATCATCATCATCAACCGCATCACGATCATCATCGTCACAATCAGCATCGTCATCGTCGTCGTCACCACGATCACCGTCACCATGCCGTCCTACCCTGCCTCCTCCTCGGCGTCACATGTCCCATCCTCCTTCTCACACACCCTGCCCCGCTGCCGCCACCTCGATCTCCACTCCTGGCACAAGGCCCACAGCTTCCCGCGGCGGCGCGCACAAGAAGTGTGCGCGAAGGGGCGGCCTTCAGAGAAGGACGGGAGCCCGCTGAGCAAAACACCCGCGATTTTGAAAGAGTCGGGTCAGCCGGTGTGCCAGTCTTCAAGATCGACGCTTCCTGTTTGGGGATAAGTCTTTTTCGTTTGGGGATTCTCGTTCGCGTCGTTGTCGGTTGGGTTCCGTTTTGCGTTGCCGAGTGTGTTTTCTGTGTTGGGTTACCGTTTCTTTTCCGTTCTGGTTGGCCGAAGTGCGAAAATTTGAAAGCAGGGCCCCGGGGTCGTCAGAAAATTGCTCGGGATGGAACGCTTACCTTCGGCACGTGGTCGAGACTTCTGGGGAGGCCCGCATGGAGGAATCAAGATTCTGGCAGCCCCCAGACTCGATGCTTCGATCTGTTGCATACGGGCGCCCCAGACGTCCTGAACCCTTCCCCTCCTGATTCGTTATTTGGCAGCCCCGGGGCCGTTGAAAGGAACCCCAGAGGCTGAAATTGGAAGCACACACAAACAGACAAGGGCACGTAAACAGATGACAAGATGACACACAACATTTGCAAGACCCCCCCTAAAAAAACAAAAAAACATAACATGCCGTCGTGTTTTTTAAACATATATACTATAAATGAATACCGCCCCCCCCCTGGCCCTGGGTCCCACACCTCCCCAGAACATCTCGGGAACGCTCCCGGTACCGCTCCCCCGGCCTTTCCGGGGAGCTTCCACAGCGCTCCAGGAGGGCCCAAGACGCCGCCCAGGAGCCCCCAGAATGCGAAAGGATGGCCCAAGACGCTCCCAAGCAGCCCAAGTCAGCCTTCCGACGGCTCTCGAGGCTCCCAGGTGGCCTCCAAGAGACCCTAAGGGAGGTCCGAGAGGCGTCCTGGGACGGCCCGAAGAGGCCAAAATCGTCGATCTTCATAGTTGTTTCCATGTTTTTGGCTTCTCGCGTTTTCGAGCTTCTAACGCTCCAAGAACGCCGAAGAGCCGCCCAAGACCGCCCGAAGACAACCCAAGAGACCCTCAGGACGGCCCCAAGACGGGCCAAGAAGGCTCCAAGACTGCCGAAGAGGCGCCCAGGACAGCCCCAGACAGACCACCCCAGAACAGGCCCAAGATGGGCCCAAGAGCGGGAGCAGGAGGCTTCTAGAGACCTCCGAGAGGCTTCCAGGACCCCCCAGAGACCCCCAACACACACCCGATCCTTGAGAGGCCCCAAGAAGACCCCGACGAGGCTCCAAGAACAGCCCAAGAGAGCTGCGAGAGCCGTCCCGAGAGAGCCCAAAGAAGGTAAAAACATGGATGTTCAGTAATTTTTCTTTTGTGTTTCGCCTTCTCACGTTTTCCCGCTTCCAACCCTCGAAGATCGAGTATTTTGAGAGAGATAGAGAGAAAAAAAGAGAGAGAGAGAGAGAGAGAGAGAGAGGGAAACAAAAAAAAAATAAAGGAGGAACAAAGCCAAGAATGTCCTCCTTTTTTCAAAGTGGACTCCTACTCGGAGATCCCACACATCCCCTGGCCTCTGGCCGGTACCGCGCTTCCCGACTTCCCGGGGAGACCCCAAGACGCCCAAGGACAGCCCAAGACGACCCCAAGGAGCCGCCAGAATGTAAAGAACGGCCCAACACGCTCCCGCGCAGCCCGAGACACCCTTCCAACAGCTCTCCAGGCCTCCAGGTGGCCTCCAGAACCCCCAGGGGTTCCGGAAGATCCCACCTCCCTGAGGGGCCCGGCTAACAAAGCCCGCCAGGCACGAACAACAAACAGCGCCGAACAACGCCGAGGAACTGGAAAAAAATTGAAATCCCACAATTCCTTTTTTGTTGCCCAAGTTTGGCCCCCGGTCTACTCTTGCACAACAGACCACAATTCAGACCCCCTTCACTTTCCAAAAAATAACCCAGGAAGTTATTTGGGGCCCACAATCGTTGAATACCTAGAAAGGAAATTATGATTTCTGCGTTTCCGCACTTCCCCTTCATACGATTCCGAAGCTTGCGCAGGGCCTCCAAAGGAGTCCCTGGACGCAAGCAGCGACCAAAATGAGATTACATGGGTTCGCCTATCAAGCCTACTCCAGATTTCGTAATAAAAGGGAGGGGCTCTGGACCCTCCAAGACAAGCCATTTCAGACCTCCCCCCGTGGGAGAACCCTCCAAAACATCGTCCCCAGACCCCCCAGGCCCTCCAAGATAGCCTGGAAGAGACCCCCCCCCGAAATGAGACCCCCCTCCCTTTATTACGAACTCTGGAGTAGCTAGAACTTGAGCGCGCGAAGCGCGCGCGATGGTTCTAGTATCGGAAGTTGGGGGGTGAGATCGCAGTGAAACGGAGACCCCCCACCGGGAAATCGGTTTCGGTTTCGTGTTCGTGTCGTGCGTGCGGGCGAGGCGAAGCTGCGCGCAATCCTCCTGTAGCTAGGCCGAAGTAGGAGCGAATCTCCGTTCCCGTCCGCCGGTGGCTGGGAGGTGTCCCAGTTGGGCCGGAGGGTGTCCCGGGTGTCAGTAGGAGCGAAAGTCCGTTTCCCGTCCGCCGGTGGCCGGGAGGTGTCCCAGTTGGGCCGGGCGGTGTCTTGGGTGTCCCGGGCGTCCCGGCGCTAACGCATGTCGTTAATTTCATAATTCATTTTTTTTCGGCGCTTGCGGCGGGCTTTCTTATCCAATCCAGCTTATCTTATCCAATCCAGCTTGTCCAATCCAATCCATCTTATCTGATCCAACCCATCCCTTCCCATCTTATCTTATCCCACCCAATCCAATCCGCCCAATCCTATCCATCAATTAATTTGTTTCTGCGCCTGCGGCGGGCCAATCCAACCCATCTTATCTTATCCAATCCATATTATCCCATCCGATCCAATCCACCCAACCCAATCCATCAATTAATTTTTGCCGGCGCCTGCGGCGGGCTTTCTTATCCAATCCAGCCTATTTTATCCAATCAATCTTGTCCAATCCCATACATCTTATATTTTCCATCTTATCGTATCCAACCCATCCCTTCCCATCTTACCTTATCCCACCCAATCCAATCCGCCCAACCCTATCCATCAATTCATTTGTTTTTGCGCCTGCGGCGGGCCAATCCAATCCATTTGATCTTATCCTACCCATCTCTTCCAATCCAACCCATCTTATCTTTTCCAATTCGTCTTATCCCATCCAATCCAATCCAATCCACCCAACCCAATCCATCAATTCATTTGTGTCGGCGCCTGCGGCGGGCTTTCTTATCCAATCCAGCTTATCTTATCCCATCCATCTTGTCCAATCCAATCCATCAGTGTGGTGGAGGGGGACTCCGATAAAGAGAGAGAGAGAGAGAGAGGGCGAGAGAGAGAGAGAGACAGAGACAGAGAGAGAGAGAGACAGAGACAGAGAGAAAAAGAGAAATGAGATCAAGGTGACAGGCTGGAGGTCAGTCAGGGTGGGCATTTGATCTCAATACCCCCCCAAACCTCCTTATCGCCCGCAGGGCGGTCGTATAGGTATATATATATGTATATATAAATATCCCTGGCGATAATGGGGATGGGGTCCGAGTTGATGGGGTCGGAGGATCGCGCCTCGTCGCCGGAGCATCGCTAACGTCACAGATGCATTGCTGACGTCGACGAAGCATCGCCGATGCATTGGCGATGCGGCGCGGTCCTCCGACCCCATCTGCTCTGCTCGGACCCCATCTGGGAGGCCTCTGGAAGCCCCGCTGCTTTCCGAGAAGGCCTGCTCCCTCTCACCTCATCCTTCGGCGAGCCGCCGAAAGAAGCCATGATGGAAAGCAGGGCTGGACCTAAATTACGGCGTTCTGGCAACCTCGTGGGCCGCTTCGTCTGCATATTCGAGGCGAAGCGAAGGCAAAACGAGGAAGAAGCAACGGCGCAACGAAAACGGAAAACACACACCGTTTAGGTTCAGCCTGCTGGAGCGAGGGCCTCCCCTCCGCCCGCCCGCCCACCCGTCTCCGAGAGCGAGAGAGAGAGAGCTCGCAGCGCCGGGGGCACGCGGCCCGGAATGCGCAGGGCGGCCCTCCCGACTCGGTCGGGGGGGGCCGCCCGCCAGCGGGCCAGGGGGACGCCCCCGTGGGTGCCGGCCCCCTCCCCAGCGAGCTCCAGCGAAGGGTCGAGCATTTTCTCTTCGGGTGGAGGGCAAAGGGTGAAGTCTGAAGTGCTGTCTCGATGGATCTTCGAGGTGCGGGTCTACAGAGGGTGAATCACGAGACGGATTGATCTTCGAGGTGCAGAAGCCCATGTGGATTTCACCCTGAGCCCTCCACCTTAAGAAAATGCTCAGAAGGGGCTCGGGATGCAGCTCCTGCCATGGGAGGTTTCCTGCAGCATCGGCGCCGGTGCGCAGTGAAGCCGCATTACCCATCGGTCGTTGAGGGTATAGGTTTTTTGGTGGATTCCCAGGTTCCAATATACTCCTCAGGCGCCTTCCTACTTCAAGGATCGAGTGGTTTTCCTTTTTCCTGCGTCTATGGGGGGCGGGCGGGGACCCAATCTACTTCCAACGCCGTCCTACTTCATGGTTCTACCCACTTATTCCGACTGGCTTGTAGCAAGGATGAGCATTTTTCCAAGGCTACCCTTGCATCCTTAGGGCCCTTTCGGCCCATCCTTAGCGACTGTCGCTGGCCAACCCTGTTCGGGAAGGCCTGCATGGCCCTCTAAGGCCCTTGCACCGTTCCCGCGCATCCTGCTTGTGCGATTTGGCTGTGCCCGTGGTCGCAAGTCGGCCTTGTCTGGCGTGTAGCCACGTCTGCCCCGCCCAATCCCACCCACAAGCCGGCTTGCTCTCGGGCCCAGCACCCAGCTTGGGCCAGCCCCACAGGCCCCTCGATGCCTGGCCTGCTGGCCGCCAGGCGTTCCCCCAAAGACCTCTCGGGGGCTGCCTCCCACAGGAGAGAGCTCTGGGCCCTCGCCCCCGGGAGCTCCCCGTGACCGGTAGCCCCCGTCGGCTCCATAGGCCGCGGCCCGCCCATGGCGTGCGCGAGGCCGGCCGCTGGCCTCCTGGGCGGTGCCTGCCTCGCGCTCGCGCTCGCCCGCGACCGCCTCGGCGTCGACCTCCTCCGGGGCAGCGCCCCCGAGCTGCGCCTCGCGCCGGCGGGCGGGCCGCGGCCGGCGGCGGCCGCACCCCCGAGGGGCGACGGCGGCGGCGGCGTTGGCCGGGGCGGGCCGGCCGCAGGCAGCCGCGGCGCTGGCGGGCTGCCAGCGGCGGCCTCGGGGGAAGGGCCGGCCGGCGTCGCCAGCGGGGCGTGGTCGGGGAGGTCGGCGGTGCAGAGGTAGGGTCCCAAAGGGAGGGGGTGCTGATGTCAGGCGATGGCAAACAGGGATCGAGGGGGCGTGGATTCGCGACGGGTCCCGCTTCCATGGGAAATCGCGGATCTCCGCCGCCGAGCGGGGCGGCACCGACCGCATTTGGGGGAGGGCACCTCCCCCGATCGATGGATTTGGCGACCGCGCGCCAAATCCACGATCGCTAATCCATGTTTGCGCGCCCCCGGTAATGACGAGGTGCTTCAAGAAAACGTAGGTCCACCCTTGGACCCCTTACGACCCCATCCCTCAGGATCCCGTCTTCGAACCACCGAGAAGGGAGGGGCCGCGCGCGGTCGCGCCGCGGGAGGAGGTGCGCGCCTTCCTGGCGAAGGCCTTCCCGGAGCCGGGGCCGCAGCTGCTGCACGCGAGGCTGTGGGGCCAGAACACGTCGGCGTTCCCGGATCGGCCACTGGTGTCGATCGGGGCATTGTGCGACTGGCTCCTCGGGCGGGGCGATATAGCACGAGGACGAGTCCGTTCCAGAGCGCTCCCTGGAATCCTGGCGTCGCATTTTTTTCGAGCCGGGCGGTCTCGCCTCGTTTCGGGCCCAGCGAGCTTCGCAGATCGATCCGGCTCGTAAAATGACGCAGAAGGATGGGGCCTAAGGCTCTGGGCGTGATTTCTAAAGATGTTTTAATGTTTGTGCTGCGGCGGATCTCAGGGGTCTGGAACGCTCCCAGAGGGTTCCGTAACGCTCTGAGAAGGCCGCGGCGCCCGAGACATCTTCCAGAGCCGCCAAATCTCAGAGATTCTCGATTTATCCTGAGCCGATGTTATCTTAATCCTGTCGTCCTGGCTTCGACTTAGGCTCTTCATCAAGGACGAAGCCGCCGATTCCGACCAGGGCCAGCACCGGCTGGTGCGGATGCGCTCGCCCCCAGCGACGGTCTTCATCGACATGAGGTTCAAGCTGGACAAGATGGTCCACATAGTACAGGACGAGCTGCTTCCCGCGCTGCAGGCGCCCGTGGTGGTGTTCACAACGGGCCACGACAGGACGATCCCGCTCCAGCTGGACGCCAGATTTCCTCCCACGAGAAACCATACTCTGGAGATCTTCTCCGACCTCCTGGACCAGCGTCTGGTCGACCGCTGGGTGACGGAGAACCTCGACGACGCGGCCTTCCACAGGAAGCTTGTCGCGGTGCCCACTGGATTCTACACGAAGAAGTGCGTTTTCCAAGGGCAGTCTGACGTGGATTGCAGCCTGATGTACTGGCCCGTGATAAGGGCCGACTGGATCGTGCCCCTGTCAAGGCGGCCGCTCACGGTGAGCTGCAACGGCAACTTGGAGCGGCAGTTCGGGGCCTCTTCTGGCGGGGCGCGGCAGTTCGGGGCCAGGACCGCCGCGCTCGAGAATTGCCGACCGGGCAGCCCATGGAGCGGCTTCTCCGAGCACCGTGGCCACATGGACACCGAGGAGTTCCCCCTCTGGTGGCAAAATCACTCCTTCGTCATCTGCGCCCACGGCGGCGGCCTCGACCCCAGCCCGAGAGCCTTCATGGCCATTGCTGCTGGCGCCATCCCGATCGTGCAGAGGTCGGCTCTGGATGCGGTCTACTCGCAGCTGCCGGTGGCGTTTGTGGACGACTGGGGGGCGGCCTCCATCTCCCTGGACAAGCTGCGGCGATGGCGGGCGCAGCTGGCACCCCACTACGAGGAGCCCGAGCTGGTGGCGAGGGTGGTGGCCAAGCTGACCATGCAGCACTGGTGGAGGACATCTCTGGAGGGCACTGCGGCCGCCGACCGCGGGGCCTGAAGCAGCGCCGTCGCCCGTGCGCCCCTCTCCACGGGGGCACTGCGGCCGGCAACTGCGACGCTCGAGACGCCGTTGCCGCCAGGGCTTGGCACGCCCGCCAGACGAGGAGCGCGGGGAGCAGGCGAAGCCGGAGCTGGACGCATCGGCGGATGGTGCATCCGCGCCAGCGTGGGTGTCGAAAGAGATGCCTCGCCTCGTGTGGCGGCCCTGCGCTGCGCAAGCGCAGAGGGCTTCGCCTGCAGGTCCCGGACGGCGAGGAGGACGGGGAGGAAGAGGAGCGCTTCTACAGAGGGGGCCGCAGCTAGCTGGGGCCCCAGCGTCCGACTGGGAGTCCCTGGTTGCCGACGCCCTCCCCAACCACTGATTGGTTTCTTGTGACCTTTTTCTCTTGAGAGGTCTAGCTGCAGTCCTCAGAGAGTATTATGGTCTCGGTGCCCATCGTGCTCATGGAGTGAGGTTGGGACGTCTGTCAGGTAGCAGTGAGCTCCCCATCGGGGGCCGGCCGGCGTCGACGACCCGAAGATAGGAGTCCAGGAGTTTAGCACCAAGCGGACTGCCTCCATCCAGGGAAGATGATCCCGATCTCGGTGATGGTGGTATCATTTGTCGGCTACGCGCGGAGGGGGGTAGGGGGAGGGAAAAAGGCTTGTTGGAAGCACCCCCTGCTTCTTAGAAGGTCCGGGCCTGATCTACAGATGTAAGGTTGGCGCCTTCTAAGAAGCAGCCTTTTCTGAGAAGCCTCTCCCCATCCCCTACCCCCTTGTGCGCACCGCCAGAAGATTTGGGCTTCCTTTCGTCTTCATCCTTCGTGTTCATCCATCGGTGTCGTCTTCACACCTCTGTGCTTCCAGTGCCGCCAGCCCTAGGGTCGCAGTGTTTGGCAGCATCCGCGCTTCTTCCTGCCAACGCGTCCACCTGGACGCAATGCTTCTGTCTGTCTGTCAGGTGGCCGACACTTTCGAAAATGAGATCATCTTCCCCCAGTGGGCACGACCCCTCGTTTTGGTGTTGGTGCACGTGTCCAAGCCTCCAAGAATGAGGCAGGCGGGCGAGGGCCTAGGCGCAGCATTGTGCCACGTATTCCCATCCCCCCCTGGGCCATGGCAGCTCAGCCCCACCAGTCCACCCCCCAGTTGGGGAGAGGCCCCTCGAAACCCGAAGGGAGCAGCCCACATCCCCGTCTGGGAAGGTCACTCAGGCATCCTCCGACAATCCTGTCTTTTCCAATCCGCGGTCCGGAGGAGTCCCGGCCCCCTTCCCTAGGGGTAGTTCTTTGTCGCGGATCCATGTTTGATGGACCCGGGGCCCGATGACGAGCCCCAGAGGCCGAAATCGAGGAACAAACCGCCCGGATTGAACAAAATCGCAGTATCTTCGGAGATCGGGAGCATCGGCCGGTGAGGCCAAGGCCATGCCAGTGGGGATCGGGACCGGTCAACAGCCAAAAACAAACGATGCTAACCGGCCGCGCCCCCCCCCCCTCTGGGGCCAGGGCCAGCCGCGCGCCCTGTGTCGAGAGCTTCGGGCCCTCGCACTTCGGGGGTGCAGTAGTTGGACAACATGTTCGAGCTCGTACACGCTCGAGGGGAATTCTGAATCCCGCCTCCCCCCGCCCCCGACGTCAACGTTGCTCTCAGTAAAGGCGGTGTGTTCTGGGGGTTCGCAGTCAACCCGCACAGCAAGGACGGGCAAACTGCCCAAGGGTACCCGTGCAGCCTTGCCTCCTCTGCCCATCCTTGGCCACTCTCGCTGGCCGCGCCTTGCTCGAAAAGCTTCGAAATGGCCTGCCAAGGCCCTTGCGTCCTTATCGCGCATCCCTCTGATACGGGTTGACTGTACTTCTGTCCACTCGCGCCCCCTCCTTCGTCACGCCATCCTTTTTACTTTCGGGGGTCCCCGGGGCATCTTGGGCCATGGGGTATGAATAGAATGTCCATGTACGGGAGGAGGAGGAGGAGGAGGAGGAGGAGGAGGAGGCGGGAGGCGGGAGGAGGAGGAGGAGGAGGAGGAGCAGGAGGAGGTGGAGGCGGAGGGCGGCCCCCCAAAACGCTGCGAACCAAAGGCCATTCTTGCCCAGGGCCACTCTTGCGTGTAGCCGAGCGGGGTCTTACGAGGGGAACGGGAAGCCGTTTTTTCTGACCCGGACAAGCCTCAGATCTGGGCGTCTCTGTCATTAAGGAGGGTTTCGCAACAATTGCGACCTCGACTGGCTGAATTGTGCCAGAGCGTGCTGCCAGCCATACAGGAGGGTGCATTCGTAGTTTCCTCGGGAAGGCATCTCGCGACAAGTGTGACGTCTCCTGATGAGCATGATGGTGCCGAGTCATGAGACCGTCCACACAAGAGGGGTCTCCGATGTTTCTCACAAGCTGCAGTCAAACGGCATTGCAAGACGGTTGTCTAATACCTTCCGCTGGGGATCTGCCACGTCGAAAAGTGTTTTCACACCAGGCGTGTTCGCCGGGTCTCGGGACCCAGGACCCTCACAGATCGATCCCGCTCGTATAATGACGCAGACAGACGGGGTCCAGGGCTCCGGCCCTGATTTTTTTTGCGGCGTTGCAATATGTGTCGCAATGTCGGACATCATGAGGGGACCGAGGGGGCGTTCTCTTTAGATTCGGGCAGTTTTGCTTGCATGGCATTTTTTCCCCCTCCCTCTCTCTCTCCCCCCCCCCGCTTCCGCCGCCTTTTCGGCCAGCGCCTGGCCCAAAAGAGGCGTGCCAAAGTGAGTCCCGACTTGAGCCCCGACTTTCAGGAGCGAAAGGGACACGTACACGTACGCGAATCCGCGCTGGTTTCGAAAGTACGCGTTATATGTCTCTATACATATATATATATATATATATACACACTAGGACCACGCGCGCTACGCGCGCGCTTAGGTTCTAGCTTAGTCTGGGGCAACGGCCAAACAACGGACGGGGGGGGTCGAAGGCTGAATGCACTTCAGTTCTTCGTCGAGTTTCGTGGGTCGTGGTTCGAAGAGCTTTTGTGGGCGCTCCTCACCTCTTCCTCGTCCTCCTCTCTCCCCCCTCCTTCTCCTCCCATCCCACCTCCCTCCTCCCCTCATGGTCCCCTCCTGTTCCTCCTTCCTCCTTCCTCCTCCTCCTCCTCCTCCTCCTCCTCTCTCATCCTCCTCCTCCTTCCTCCCCCTCCTCCTCCTCCTCCTCCTCCCTCCTCCTCTCCTCCTCCTCCTCCTCCTCCTCCTCCTCCTCCTCCTCCTCCTCCGCTTTCCGGGGGTGAGTGACCTTTTAGGGCCTTTCTGGGGCCGTCTTGGGGCCCTCTTGGGCGTCCTGGGAACCCGGAAATCATGTTCCCGGAGAGGCTTCCGGGAACATGATTTCGAACGAGGCCCTCTTTGGGCTTCCCTGAGGCCGTCTTGGGGGCCTCCTGGGCCAGCTTCGGGGCCTCTTGGACCGTCTTGGGGGGTTCCGCGAGCCCCACAGGACGACCCTTTTGGGCCGTCTTGGGCCCTCGTGGGTCTCTCTTGGGCTGTCTTGGGGCTCCTCGGGGGCGTCTGGGGCACTGAGAAGACGAAGCAAGCGAGCATGCTGAAAATGTACGTGAAGGTAATGGGCCGATGTTTGCATCTTGAAGGCCCTCTGGGGGCCCTCTTGGCCATCTTCAAGCCATCTCGGGCCATCTTGGGCCTCGGTGAGGCTGTCTTGTGGGCCTCTTGGGCGTCCTGGGAACCCGGAAATCATGTTCCCGGAGAGGCTTCCGGGAACATGATTTCGAACGAGGCATTCTTGGGCCTCTCTGAGGACGTCTTGGGGGCCTCCTGAGCCGGCTTCGGGGCCTCTTGAGCCGTCTTGAGGGGTTCCGCGAGCCCCAAAGGCAACCTTTTTCGGCCGTCTTGGGCCCTCGTGGGTCTCTCTTGGGCTGTCTTGGGGCTTCTCGGGGGCGTCTGGGGCACTGCGAAGACGAAGCAATCGAGCATGCTGAAATTTACGTTTTACGAAGGGGATGGGCCGATGTTTGCATATTGAATGCCCTCTTGGGGCCCTCTTCGGCAATCTTCAAGCCATCTCGGGCCCTCTTTCTTGGGCCTCGGTGAGGCTGTCTTGTGGGCCTCTTGGGCGTCCTGGGAACCCGGAAATCATGTTCCTGGAGAGGCTTCCGGGAACATGATTTCGAACGAGGCCCTCTTGGGCCTCCCGAGGCCGTCTTGGGGGCCTCCTGGGCCGGCTTCGGGGCCTCTTGGGCCGTCTTGGGGGGTTCCGTGAGCCCCACAGGACGACCCTTTTGGGCGTCTTGAGCCCTCGTGGGTCTCTCTTGGGCTGTCTTGGGGCTCCTCGGGGGCGTCTGGGGAACTGTGAAGACGAAGCAAGCGAGTATGCTGAAAACGTACGTTTTACGAAGGGAATGGGCCGATGTTTGCATCTTGAAGGCCTTCTTGGGGCCCTCTTCGGCTATCTTCAAGCCATCTCGGGCCCTCTTGGGGCGCTCTTGGGCGCCTTGGGGCCCTCTTGGGCCTCGCTGAGGCTGTCTTGTGGGCCTCTTGGGCTGTCTTTGGGGCCTCTTGGGCCGTCTTGGGCGGGTTCGTGGACCCCGCAGGACGCCCTGGGCGGCCATGCCACCCGGTGTCGCCACCCCACCCCCGCCCCCGGGCCTACTCCGATATACATGTATATATATACACACATGCATATACCTATACATGTACATATACATATACGTGTATATGTATATATATGTATATGTGTGTAAAAATATACGTATATATACATATGTATATATATATGTATATATATATATGTGTGTGTTGCTGCCAGAACCCCCAACAAAGAAAAAGATGCCGTCGTTGTTGTTTACTGCGGCCTGGACATGCGGATGCCTGGGGGCCGCGCCGCTGGGCGACGGGGCCCTTCGGCAGGGCGTGGCCGCGGCCCCGACGCCCCGCCCGGCCCTCCGCGCCTGTGCTCTCGCCGGAGAGGAGAGAGCGAGAGAGAGGCGACGGCGGAGGCCAAGGGCGGGGGGGGGACCCAGAAGGGGAAGGTTCAGCAGGGGAAAGGACACGCAGACACAATGAATCGTCGACCCCCCAGAAAGTATGTATAGGAAAATATGGGAAGTGTGGGGGGGGGGAAGACAAAAACCCTGAAAATATGGGAAATATGGGGAATCCTGTTATTTGTGTCTATTTGTTTGTATGTCCCAGGGCCCCTTCCAAGGTGCAGAGCGAGGAGGAAGGGGTGACCGCACACTGGGGCCGCGCCGCTGGGCGAGGGCGTGGCCGCGGCCACTGCCCCGCTGACCGACGGGGTGGATGTGATCAATCTGATGCCCCCGAGCCACCGCGCGCTGCTGCGCGGCGGCTACGACGACTACACCGGGCGCGCCCCCAGGGGGGGGGGGCGGGGCGGCGCCCCTGGGGAGGAGGCAGGAGGACCCAGACATGCTCGCGTCCTGGAAAAATCAGAGCGGGAAGTCTCCCCCCGTTTTCGGATTCTGGAGGCCCTTATCGGGCCCTGGGACCGTCAACAAAACCACTCGGGATGAAAGACCGGTCCCGGGGAAAGGGCCGGGACTTCCGGGGACCCCGTGCTGAAACATTGGGATATCGCATGTCTGGGGAGGCAGGAGGAGGATCAGAAGAGGAGGGCCAGTTGAGACAACGGTACTTGGCCCTCGCGAGGCCCCCTCGTCGCCACGGCTGGGCGCAGCTTGGACAACTGGTACGCTCGGACCCTGTGAGGGGTCCAGGGACCAATTGAGAGCTGCCGCTGTCTCCGCCCGCCCCCCTCCGAGAGGACGGGGGGGCGACGACCACCCCGACGTTCGGATGTGTTCGAAAGCTCTGCTTGGCTCTCGGAGGCTCCCTCGACTCGGGCTGCCTGCCCGCCGGCGCGCCTCGCCGAGCTATGGGGCGTTCCCGGGGCGTGCCCAGCGCGTCCTGGACGGCCGCCGGAGGCCGTGGGCTGCGGCCCGCAGCTCGGTCTCGGGTCGGCCTCGGCCGGCTGGCACGAGCCCCACGGCCCGACACAAACGAGGAAAGAAAATCTCGGGCCACGCGCACTCTTCCCGCAGCATGTGTAAGGAAGCTTGATGCTCGCTGCCGCTCGTCTCCCCTCCCCTCTCGACTCTGAAACAGGTCAGCGGGTTGGTATATACAGATGGCGAGCGTAGCGAGCATCCCGCTGGCGTCTGGCGCAAGGCGCTGGCGTCCTACATGCTTGGGCCGCTAGGATTACCAGCGGTTCACTATTGCATCGGACACAGGAATCGGTCAATCCTTTGGAAGATGCACCATCCTACCCCTCATCAACCTACCACCCCATGGTCCGACCCTTTCTTTCTACTCTTGGAGGCTTTCTCGACTCGGGATGCCTGTCCGCAGGCGCGCCTCGCCGAGGGCGTTCCTGGGACGTGCCCGACTCATCCTGGACAGCCGCTGGAGGCCGGGAGCTATGACCCGAAGAAGGCAATCGGTGCGGTTTGGTCCCGGCCGGCTGCCCTCGATCGGCCCGGTTCGGTCGGTTGCCGCGCCGTTGCGCCGGTCCACGCTCCGCTCGGTCCGTTTCGACTTGACGTAAAAATGATATTTCGCCGGACTGGCCTTTGGTGCGGGCCCACTGGAGCATCCCGATCGCCGAACGCGAGGCGGCAGTGGCGTCTTGCGCGCTTGTGTGTTGTCCCCCGCGGCCCCGAAGAAGCCGGGCACCCAAGGTCACTCTTGAGCAGGGTGACTCTTGCGTGTAGCCGGCCGTTGCTCGAGGCAGAGGGCACAGGCCCGTGTCCTGGCTGACGGTGCCCAGACGGCAGCGACGGCGCCGCGCACCGGACGCGACCGCGACGTGGTGACGGAAGACGAACAGCGGCGCGCTCGGCCACGCAGGAGGACGGAGGATACGGGTGCGCTTCCCCTCTGCAAGCCCGCGGGCAGGACCGAGGGACTGAGGAGGGAGGATGCGGACGAGTTCCCCGACATCCGAGGCCCTGAGGATATCGAATCGGAGGCCTTTCGACGCTTTCGGCCCCCGGGCCGTCGGAAAACGATTCGGGATGAAAGGCCGGCCCTGGGGGAAGGGTCGAGAGTCTTTCGGCCCGCGCACTGAAGAATGCCAGACGCTTCGCGCAACCCCACCAGCCCATCCAGAAATAATGCCCAGACGAGATGCCCTGACCAGGGATGTGGAGGAGCAAGCAGTGGAATAAAGGGTTGGGGAAGCTGTCATACCCCAAAAGGGGGAGGATGGAAGAGGAATCGGAGGAATCGGAGGAGGACGAGGAGGAGGAGGAGGGGAAGGGGGAGGAAGGAAGGAGGAAGGAAGGAGGAGGAGAAGGAGGAGGAGGAGGAGGAGAAATAGGCGGATGAGGAAGAGGAGGGGGAGGAGGAGGAGGAGGAGGAGGAGGAGGAGGAGGAGGAGGAGGAGGAGGAGGGCGAGCAGAAAGGCCAGAGGCCTCTTGGATACCTTTAGGAATATCTTCGGATGTCTCTTGAGAGCTTCTTAGAGTCCTCTTGTGGCGTCTTGGGGGCCTCTTGGCGGTCCCAGGGGCCTCTTGGAACGTCGTAGGTGCCTCGGGGGAGACTCTTGGGGCCTCTTCGGGGTCTCTTAGGAGCCTCGGGACCTCTTGGAGGTCTCTTGGGGCCTCCTGGGCACCTCTTGGTGTTGAAGGACTGGGCTTCTTGGCTGCTTGCTTAGAAGGCTCCGTGGCCTCGTCGAGCCGTATTGAGGCGGTCTTGTAGCCTTTTGGAACATTTTGGAAGCCATCTTGAGCGATCTCGCGCTATCTCGGGCCATCTTGGAGGCTACTGTGGGCTCCCTGAGGCCCTCTTGGAGCCATCTTGGGCCATCTTGGACGCTCCAACCTCCCGCCCCCCCCCCCCAGACCCAATGGAGGGTGTAGGGGAGGGGTCAAGTTTCCCACCAGCCCGCAAGCCGTCTTGCTCACTCCCGCCCGCCCTCCCAACATACGTAACACCCGGGAGTCAGCAGATCGCGTAAGAATGCCGCAAACGCCACGGGTTCCAGATGCACCAGACCCTGGAGGCCCAAGCGTGCCAGGTGCGGCACGTGCTCGACGTGCGCCAAGTGTTCCACGTGCACCCCAGCCGTCGCTGCAAAACACCAAGACAAAATAGTCGCGGGGCGGCCGCGCATGCTCCAACTGTGGAGGCAGAGTGCGTTCTGTATTGTTTATTGACAGGGATGGTGGGGGGGGCCCTTATGGGGTCGTCATGGTTCCGGGTTGGCCGCTGGCCGGGTGGGGGAGGGGTGTACACTAATAGGGAACAGTGATCAAGTCAGACAGGTCGAGCGAGTCAGAGGCCCCGCCTACTCCCTACCTCCCAAAACATGAGAATCAAGTGTGGCACAACATACACTGGAATTGGAACGCGTTCCCACCTCGCAAACGGAAGGCGTTCGCGCGCGGTCCCGCTTCCGACGGCTTGGCGAAGAGACATCTACGCGGGCCGCGCGAGGACGAAGCATGCGCCACGCTGACAGAGCATTGCCATGTTCACTCAAACTGCGCGGCGTTTGCGCGAGGTCGGCATCCCGCTCTCGCGCGGCCCCGTTGCCGTCGTCGAATCCGTGCGATCCGGCGAACGAAGCATACGCCGCGCCCGCGCTGGAACTTTCTCGACCCAGATGCGCACAGAACTCGGGCGAGGGCAACAAGTCGCCCACTCACGCGCCCCAGGAAACTGTCGCACGACCAGTGTGCGCCGCGTCGAGGTGGGAACGCCACTTTCGGGCAAGACCTGCGCGGCGCCGCAGCGAGAGCGACGTGTTCGTCCGCTCTCGCGTCGCCGAAAACACGTGCGAAAAATGCCCGCTGCGCCCGAGCGGGAGTTCAACGCTCTAGAAAAACGAGCGCGGCGCCGAGGCGAGATCGACGTCCCGGCCATTCGCAAGGCATGCGCTCCCCGTCCCATTCCTGCCACGCATCTCGCAGCATGGACGGCACAATGCACATGCTGATACGAGAAACGTAAGCTTTGTATCGCTCTCAACGGGCAGGAAGTGCCTGGATCTGGGTCCTATCGGCCAGCTGCAGTGGAGCACCCGAGTTCCTTTGTCAAAAATACATTGTGAAGTTGTCGCAGGGCGCCTGCGCATGCTCCAGATTTGGAGGTGGCAAAGTTTTATGTGTATTGTTTCTGTTGACAGGGATGGTTGGCCTGCACGCAGCAAGCAATATGAGAACCCCCCCGCCACCATGGTCAAAAGCCAATGCAAAGTGGTCGCGGGGCGCCCGCGCATGCTCCAGATCTGGAGGCGAAGTGCATTTTGCATTGTAACATGACAGGGATGTTGACTTGCGACCATCAAACAATGTGAGGGTATCCCCATCGCCCTTATCCAATGCAAAATGGTCGTGGCGCTCCCGCGCATGCTCCAGATATTGCAAAGTGCAGTTTATAGTGTTTCTGACAAAGATGGGGGAGCGTTGGCATGGGGATGGGTTGGCTGCCGGTCGCCTGGGAGAAGGGGCTTTTATTAGTGATAAGGAACAGTGATCAAGCTACCCCAAGCCGAGAGCCGGGTCGCTCATTCCCACCCGCCCTCCCAACACACAGGCAGCACCCGAGGCAGGGGCCCCGATCCCACGTGGTTCATGCGTCCCGTCGGAAACACACAGCGGACAATATTGAGGGTACCCCCGCCGCCCGTGTCAAAAACCAATGGCAACATGATCGCGGGGCGCCCAGGCATGATCCAGATTTTGCCGCACAATGCAGTTTGTATGGCTTCTGTCAGGGATCGTGAGACCGCATAGAACGGCCCATATGAGGGTACCCCCCCGCCGCCCCCTCTGTCAAAAAACAAGTGCAAGATGATCGCGGGGCGCCCGCGCATGAGCCAGCTGTTGCCACGCAGTGTGCTTTGGCACTGTGTGTCGACAGGGATGGCGGGCCCGCGCACAGCGGACCTTTCGAGGGCACCCCCGCCGCCCCTCTCGAGAACAAGCACGCCGTGCTTACGGGGCGCCCGCGCCAGATAAACAAATATCGAACAACCGGAGTTCAGTCAACAAACAGACGTCCGGATGTTGCCGCAAAGTGCATGCTGCATTACCGTGTTGGCGGGGGTGGTGGGCCAGCACAGGGCGGAGAGTACGAGGGCACCCCCGCCGCCCCTGCCCTGTTGCCCTGTCCCACGAGAACAGTGCCGAGTGCTCACGCGGCGCCCGCGCGCGGCCCAGATTCGGCCGCAGAGTGCATGTGGCACTGCTTGCAGACAGGGATGGCGGAGGGGGGCTCATTGGCCCAGGCGTGTCCCCGGTCGGGTGGGGGAGGGGGCGCGTATTCATTAGGAAGAAAGGGGATACGGCTCTCCCCTGCGCGGAAGACGTGGGACCGGAAGAGGGAGTTCGGTGAACCACCTCCGCCCAGAGGGCTGGTGGGATTCAGGGCATCGTATGTCTGGGTTCCTTCTGCGAGCCAAAATCGGCCTTGTCCTTGAGGCTCGGCGATTCTCTGAGCCGCCTCCTCGGCCTGAACACGCGCCAGCATTGCCACCGTGCCAGAGGAGGGAGGAGAAGGAAGGAGGGCGGAGGGGAAAGGAGGAGGAGGACAGGACAGGACAGGACAAGAACAATTGCGATCCACAGTCTGTTGCTGGTGCCCTTGCGGGAAAATGCGCGACTGGCCTTTTCACCATGACAACGGATTGGATTTGCGCACACGATTGGAAGGGCCGAATCTGTCGATTAACATACAGGGGGTATGCGACTTGTGCACCACTAGCTAGGCAACGCGCCAGCCTGTGGCCAACACACGAGGCCACCGCATGCAGAGATTAGAGCAGTGACGAACTGGCCACTTTCAGGAATGCAGAAGCTGCACACGTCAGGAACGACAGAGCTTGGGGCTGTTTGGACTGTGGCTCGTGGGCCGCTGGGGGCGAGAGAGAGAGAGTGAGAGAGAGAGAGAGAAAGTCACTCGCGCCCAGCCACTCACGGGATTACGAGACCAGCACACGAGGGCAGACACAAACGTGCACGGTGCTGTTCGCTTCCGCAGTGCGCCCAGAGGGCGCACTCAGCCATGCGCGGGACATTGGCCTGTACGCCGAGATGGTCTTGGGCCGCGTGGCGGCAACCGTGGCCCGGGCAGACCCGCGCTCTTGATTCTCCCCTCCAACCCCCTTCCTCCCGCCCTCCCCCTCCCCCTCCTTCACCGCAGATGCACGACACGCACCAGGCTGCGTGAGTTTGAGCTGAGAGCGGCGAGATCCCTGGCTGGGCCCCTGGCGGGTGCACGGGGCGCCAGCAGCATGCCCACAGATCCAGTGCTTCCTACGAGACTCGCGCGCCAGGCATCGCCATGAGGAGGTCGAAGCCTGACGCGCTCCAGCACGGCAGCAGTGATACCGATCCAAGATCCGATATCTTCGATGACTGCCTCCACGATATCGGAGCAGGATGCCGTGCATGTAGAGTCGTCGTAGCTAGCCGCCCTGGAGCACGCCTCTCACAGCGCCCACAAACAACACCAGCACAGGAGAACCTTGTCTGAGACGTTGTAAACCTCGCAGCAGGGCCTGATAAGGGCCTGCAGCGACATATCCGCTTCGGGGACTTTCGTCGTGGGAGTCTTTGTCTCTTGCGGTGTCTTCCCCAAGGCGATGCAAGCCTCGAGCGCAGGGCTTGCGTATCCGCAACAGCTTCAGGAGCTGATCTTCGGGTTCTCCTCAGCGGGCTCGTGGCAATCTTCAAGGCGCGGAGCTCCGCCTGCGACGAGCGACCCCGAATCGTCTGATCGGAGACGGCCTTCGCCTCGGCGCCGATGCAGTCCACGCGCTGGCTCAGGTCCGTCACGTGTTCTTGGATTCCCAGCTCCCCCTCGGTGCACGGCGCCTGCCCAACCCCCAGGATGCATCGACACCGAGAGAGGTCCGGGCCTCCCAGATAGTGTCCGAGCAGACGGGGTCGGAGGACCCCGCCGGCGCGGCTCGATGTGGAGCCCGATGCCCTCCGACCCCATCTGTTCGGACCCCATGTGGGAGGCCTCCGAGGGGATGGCGGAGCCATCGCCGAGGCCGCCGAGGCCCCGCGGCCTCGCCTGCGTCGGTGGCCGCAGCCGCCCCCCGCGGGCACCCGCGGCGGGCTCTCGCGCGCCGCTCTCGCGCGCCGCTCTCGCCTGCCGCAGCGCCGCCAGCGAGCGCCGCAGTACGGTGGGGGGCGTTGGTCAAGGGATGTGCCCCGGAGGCTTCGGACCCTCCTCCTCCTCCTCCTCCTCCTCCTCCTCCTCCTCCTCCTCCTCCTCCTCCTCCTCCCTGGAAAGTTCCCTATCTGATGAGGGCGGCGGCAAGATCCGCTGCCACTCCGCGACCGGAGTTCCACCGGCCTCCAGAGCCCCCACCGCACGCCGGCCGTAGAGGGGGGGGGGGCTCTGCGGCGAGCCGCGCGCCCGCGGACCTGAGCACGGCGGCAGCCCTGCCGCCGCGCGGGGCGCTGCCTCTCCGCCCGCTGCCCGGGCGCCGTGCGCCCTGGCAGGCAGTGCCGCCGGTGCTGCGTCGCGGTCGGTGTCTGCAGCTCTGGCGGCGTGGTGCGAGAAGCGAAAACCAAAAACAGCAAGCAACAGCAAACAACAACAACAACAACAACAACAACAACAACAACAACAACAACAACAACAACAACAACAACAACAACAACAATAACAACAACAACGACAACGACAACGACAACGACAACGACAACGAAAGCGACAACGACAACGACAACGACAACAACAACAACAACAACAACAGCAACAACAACAATAACAACAAGAACAGCAAGAACAGCAAGAACAACAACAGCAAGAGCAACAGCAACAGCAACAACAACAACAAGAAAGCGAAGTGGGAACAAAAAAGAATTCAGCCGCCGCGGCCCTGTGCGCCCTGCAGCGCACCTCTTTCCCTCGTCGCAGGGCTTTCCCCTCGCAGCCGCCGCTGTTGATATCGGGGGCGGGCAGCCCCTGCTGGCCGTGTGCGCCCCAGCATGGCGCCCTCGAGTTCTCCCCCCCGCTCTTCGAGGCGCGGTCCTCGCCCCTCTTGCAGTCAACCCGCATAGCACGGATGGGCAACCTTCCCAAGGGCACCCCTGCATCCTTGCCCCTTCGGCCCATCCTTGGCGACTTTCGCTGGCCAACCTCGTTGGCAAAGACGCTCACGTGGGCCTCCAAGGCCCGCACATCCTCACCGCGCATCCTTCTGATACGGGTTGACTGGATCCCCTTCAGCCTCACAGGGGGCTGCGAGGCATCGCCCGTCTCCGCCGGACGACGGCACAGCCGCCCAGCGCAGCGTCGCAGCACTTCCCCCCGGGCGCCTTCGCGCGGCCTGCGCCCTCCTCTTGCCGCAGCGCCGCCCGCGAGCGCCGCGCCGCCAGCCAGCCCCGGGGAGCCTCTGCGGCGAGCCGCCGCGGCGCACCGCAGGCGGCACCTGCGCGGGGCGCTCCAGGAAGGGGCCTCGCCCTCGAGGGCTCTTCGAGGGGAGGGCGCACAGGCTGGCCACGACCAGGACTCGGCCAGGCCCCAAAGGGGGTCCAGCGGAAAGGGGGTGGTGCCATAGGTCTGGTGCAGTAGATCTGCGGAGCTGCAACAGACTTGGGGCGTGTGGGACACTCCGGTGCGCAAGTGTATTGCTGGATTTTCGCGTGCAACACATTCGATGCAATACAATGCAATACCTTTCTCCGGCGCAATACCTGTGCAATAGAATTGCCCCAAACTTTTTGCACCACCACCTTTCAGTTGGACCCCCTTTTGGGTCTGCCAAAAGGATGCCGCGGGGTCTTGTCGACGCCGATCTTGGTCATGGTCCATGCCAGCCGTCGCCGATCACGAGGATGATCCGCGAATCGACCGTGACCAAGTTGGACGGTGACCGAGATCGGCACTGACGTTTCCGCGTTCAGCCTGTGTCATGATCATAATAATCATTGTCTTCCCCTTCCTGTTCCTCCTGCTCCTGCTTCTCCTTCTCCTTCTGATCCTCCTCCTCCTCCTCCTCCTCCTCCTCCTCCTTCTCTCTGATCCTCCCTCCTGGTCCTCCCTCATCCTCCACCCTCCTCGTCCTCACCCCCCCTTCGATCGAATGGGAATTACGTAACATCTTCTCCTCAGCGGAAAACAAACCAAACACAAAAAAAAACAAAATGGGAAACGCCTCCAACGGAGGCCGGGCAGACGAGGATGTTGCCCATCCAGGAGGCGTACTGCTCGCACGCGGGGCTTGTGAGCGGGCGAGCCACGCACACCGCCCCCCATCCATGCAGGTCTGAAGGCGGGAGAAGCACCTTGACCTCCTCCTCCTCCACCACCTCCTCCTCCCCCTCCCCCTCCCTCCTCCTCCTCCTCCTCCTCCTCCTCCTCCTCCTCCTCCACCTCCTCCATCCTCCCTCCTCCCGCTCCTCCTTCTCTCCTCCTCCTCCTCCTCCTTCTTCTCCTCCTCCTCCTCCTCCTCCTCCTCCTCTCCTCCTCCCCTCTCCTCCCCCTCCTCCTTCTCCTCCTTCTTCTCCTCCTCCTCCTCCTCCTTCTTCTCATCCTCCTCCTCCTCCTCCTCCTCCTCCTTCTCTTCATCCTCCTCGTCCTCCTCCTCCTCCTCAGCGAGAGCCCCCCTCCTCCTGCCCCGTTCACGCAGAGCTTGAGGAGGGAGGAGGGAGCGGCGGGAGAGCGGAATGAGCAGGAGGGGAGCTCGGAACAATCAGGGCTCGGTGATGTAGTATCGACCGTTGATCGATCGATCTGTCAGGTGTTCGGCCAGACCTTCGGCCAGCGGAGCGTTCTGCGCCGCCCGATCGATCAGAGCGGCAGGATCGGGCTTTTATCCGATTGGATTCGCACCACCTGCCAACAATCAATGTATGGTCGATTTGTCCTCATCGTCCTCGCCCTCCCTGTCCGCATAATCCTCGTCATCCCTGTCTGCTTCCGCGTCGTCCTCCTCGTCCTTCATGCACATGTCGGTGTCACGCTACGTAGTTTTGTCAATTCCAGCCCTAGGGGAATTGTTATATCTTTGGGCACTGCGAACACATTCGGATAGTTCCACGGTGATCGCTCCTTCAAACAAACCGGCCGCCTTCATAAGCAGCAAAAGGTGGACCAGCTGACAAAATGCCTTGTGGAGCGTATTGATTTCAACTTCCAGGATGATCGTTGCGGACCACGCTGTGAGGCGCCCAACTCAACTCAATTCGTCCTCTCCCCCTCCCTATCCTCAACCTCCCCGTCCAGTCCTTTTTAGAGTTTGCCGCTGGTCAGGGTCTGGGTGGCCTACTACATCGGCCGCCTGAAGAGCTTCAACCACAAGAACGGTTTCGGGTTCATTGAGTGCATGCAGTGCAGGATTTTCTTCTTACGAGGTATTGTCTCTCACAGTGCCGCTGGCCACGTTTCGAAAGAGGCGGAGGAGAAGGAGGAGCGAACAGCAGCAGCAGCAGCAGCCGCAGCAGGTAGCAAGGCATTTGGTGTGAGTTGACCATTCCATAGAGGAATATGTATGGAATGTCGAGCAACCGTTGAGAGTGAAGCAGCAAAGAAAGTGGGCACCGAGCACGAGGGAAGCGTGGGAACGACATTGGCGTGAGAGAAGGAGCTTGCGCGATGGCAGAGGGAAGAGGAGAAGGGGAGGAGGAGAAGAAGAAAGGAGAAGCAGGAGGACGAGGACCAGAAGGATGCCATGATGTAGGAGAAGGAGGAGGAGGGAGGGAGATGAAGAAGAAGGCAGCTGTAGATCAGAGTTTGATGCGCGGCAAGTTCAATGTATTGAGTGCTAGCCTTCAGACTCGCTGCGCGAAGCGGTTCAGACAAGAGTGCACGCCTGGGACGACGCAAGGGTCCTGAGTCGGAACTCAAAAGCCTTCAGGAAGGACTACGGCTGCGATGTCTTCGTGCACAAGAACTTCGTGCCGCACCCCTGGAACATAGGCACCCATGCTGAATTCACAAATGTCAACGACAGTACCTCGCACTTTTTGGCACACCGTGTTTTTGCACCCCTTACATCATGCCGCGCGTTTTTTCCCGTTGCTCGGTCCTGCCCATGTCCACCCCTAGGGGGGTGAGATGCCTACAGCGAATCAGATAACGCATGAGGTAATGTTTCAGCCCAGCGCAGGACCTGCAGGAGTGCTCTCAGATCCCCCGCACACGAGGATGCGAGTGAGGAGTTGCGATCGGCTCGGGCACTTCAGACTCGCATGGAAAGCCCGCCGCAAGCGCCAGTCCATTCCTTCGAGAGGAAACGATTTTTCTGCGAGCCCCAGGCCCGAAGCCACCGCGAACTGGGCATCTGGCCGGGTCCCCGGCCAATTACGGGGGGCCCCAGCGGTGCTCCTGGACACAGGAGCCGGCTGGGTTCAGCCCAAACACTTGACTCCCATGACGCCGCGCCCCCTCCCAGAGAGAGAGAAGAAGAAGGAGAAGGAGAAGAAGAAGAAGAAGAAGAAGAAGAAGGGAAGGATGAACACACCAGAGCAGATGAGTCTCAAGGGAGGAAAAACCACCCGGACCGGACAACTGAACTGGCGTTTGCTGAACGGCCATGGGCGTTTATTAAACAGCCATGTCCTGTTCGATTCCTTCTTTGGGCGCGTTTACTAAATGCCTCGCGTGTCGGCGTGGTTATTATCGGGGCGGATTTTCTGCCCTCTAGAGTCGGAGGATCGCGCCGCATCGCCGATGCATCGGCGATGGGCAAGATCTTCCGACCCCTTCTGCTCAGGCCCCACATGGGCGGCCTCCACGCCAGGACAAATGTGGGCCCCGAGCCAGCCAGCAAGTGGCCGACGTGCAATGGACTCACAAACGCGGAACACCTTCACTCGAGTGAGGGATCGTTTACAGAATTGATTTGCCCCAGAATGCATCTTCTCGTCGAATATACCAAGAATGCGTAGATTGCTTGCACGTCTACGGAACAATCTTCGCACTTTTCGTAGACTCGACCGACAAATCAGTTTTGGGGTAGATCTACTCTGTAGTCGATCCACTGCTCGATTCACTCAATCCAGTCACAGCTGGCCTCACAATTACTCTGAAATGCTTCCGAGGATGCTGGCGTCCACACACTCTGTGCGTCGGCGGCTGGGCAGAAGGGTGACTGCTCCGGCGATCGGGCATCAGTGGGGCGCGCTAGATGTAAATTGGGCCGCAGTGCACGTGAGGAGAGGAGGAGACCCCGGCGCGACGGGACGAGAAGAAGCTGGGCTCGCTCAGGCAAGTGCGGCGGAGGGAGCGCCGAGGGGGGGGGGGGGCCGCGTCCACACACACACACACACACACACGCACACCACAACGGTTGTAATTTGAGCCGCTTTCCTTCACGAGCTAAGGACAACATGCGACTCTCTCGGATCAATTTTCTGGGGCGGGGTCCGTTGTGCGTGGGGGGAGAGGCCTTGGCAACCGCCTCGCAAGAAGAGCATTACGGTGAAGACGCCGAAGCTAGAAAGAGTTCGGGCTCGGAAGGAGCTCAACGTTGCTGCAGTCTTTCCATAGCTGCTCCGCTAGCGCTCCTCATGCACCCATGCGCTCTTGGGGGGGGCCAAAAAAAGACGTCGTTCCGTATTCAGCGCTCCTTCGATGGTAGTGGTCAAATTGACTGCGCACGCTTCAGCACTGCGACACAGGCGCGCGCATCCCGAGCAGTGAATTGCTCCGATATTGCCAGGCTGCGGATGCGCACGGAGTTTCCAAACTGGCCCAGGCTGCGGCAAGTCCATCACATCGTTGGCGGCGCTCGGTATTTCGCACGGCTCCATGTTTCACTGATGGTAATCAAGACTTTCGGGCGCACCATTGGGATCGTTGGGTGATGATGGCAACTGGCGGCAGTCCGGAGCAGCATCCTTCGCATGGCTCTCTGATGGCAACCGCGGTTAGAATTTGCTGGTGCATTTTCGGGACAGAGTTAGCAGTCCAGAGCACCACGCATCCCACAGTTTCTCGGGGCCGTACCAGGAATAGCGGGCGCAAGCATTGTTCAGGGAAAGTACAAGCCTCGCCGGTGTGAAGAGGAATTCGTCTAGAGGCCTGCAGGGAAATCCTGGGACTGCTGCATCGGTGATGCATCATGAGATTCACTCTGGCCTTTCTCCTTCTCCGCCTCCTCCTCCTCCTCCTCACGCTCATGTCTCCCTTAAGCTCGCCGAGCGCGTTCCACCACTCGCAAAGTGCCTACCCGTAAACGTCCGAGAAAACCAAGTGCGAGTAGCTACTTTTTTTGCGAGCAGTGGAACACGCTTGTCGATAAACAGTGCCTGCACCCGGAAAAATGGGGCAGCGGACCCGGCCGGAAACACTTGTGGCCATTGTTCGGCGGCGAGCGAGGGGAGGAAGTGGTAAGGAAAAGGCCTTCTCAGAAGGCGGCAGGGCTTCGCAGGAGCCCTCGGGGCCTTCTGAGCCTTCGGGGAAGGCTCAGAACGCTTCTCCGCAGGCCGGGGGACTTCCGAGCCTGCTGAGAAGGCCCGCCCCCTCGCGCTTCCCCCCCCCCAGGCGCGCCGGCGAGAGATGGGGGCCATCCGGGGCTCAGGCAGGGGCGGTGGTCTTCGGGCCACTCCTCATCGAGGTCGGGCACCTGCTCGCAGCCGAGGCTCGCCGCGGCCAGAAGAGCCCCGTCGTTCCTTTCCTCTGCGCGCCCTACGGTCACACAGCGGCTGCACTGTCGCACTGCACGCACCGATCGGCAAGCCGCGCACCAAAGGTCTCTCCAGCTCAGGGTCGCTCTCGCGTCGCGGCTGCAATGCTCGCGAGCCCGCACCCGCCAGGTCTGGTCCCGCCTCGTTTACACGACAGGGTGGTTCCAAAGGCTTGTCTGCCCGCCCCCGAGAAAGTACCCCTGCAAAGCAACCTAGCAGCCGCAAAGGCGAAGAGGCGGGTCGAGGAGTAGGAGGCCGGCTACCTTTGCGGACACTTCTGTGGCTTGTTTACCACAGCTCGTAGCCCAGACCCCCGACGTCATGATTTTTGTCACAACGTCGATTCTGGAGATCTCGACCCATTCCCCCGGGCCAGTTTTTCATCCTGAGTCGTTTTTGGATGGCCCCGAGGCCCGGCGATGGCCCCCCGAGGCTCCAGGAAGCGAAAAGCCTCCCGTCGTGGTTTTTGTCACGACTCGACGGGGTCTGGGAAGTACCCTATCAGCGGAACGCCATTAGGGACAGATGAAGACGCTGTCAAAACTCACGGCCAGTGCCCCCCGCGCCCCCAGGGTCCAGGGATCGCCTGTCACGTCGGCTGGGAGATGCGGCCCGCGGGCGGCCGAAGCGTGCCCAGGCCCAGAGGGCGAGGAGGCCGTGCAGGGTGCTCCCTCCCAGACCTCCTCGCGTTGCAGGAGGAAAAAGAGAAGAACCCCCCCTCCAAAAAAGAAATACGACGGTAGGTTTTTCACTAAGTTTTGGCCTCCTGGGGCCCTTACTGGGCCTCGGAGCCGTCAAAAAACAATTCGAGACGAAAAAAACTGGTCCCGGGGAAGGGGTCCAGACCTTTGGGGGTCGACGTTTTGAAAAAATCACGACGTCGCGGGTCTGAGCTCGGTGCCGTCATGGATTGCAGGAGTCTCGCTGTGCTGCACGGGGGGCCTGGGGTCAGGGGGCGATAGTACTAAGGTGCCACGACCTCCCACCGCCAGGCTATCGAAGACACCTACGGCGAATCACCGCCGCCCCCTGCCCTTTCGGAAGCGCCTATGTGGCCGAACGTTGTGGCCAGAGGCCTGCCAAGCTATCGGACCATGTGTTCCCCGAATCGGTTTGGAAAGCTTTCGGGGAACACGTGGGGGAGAATGAACATGAAGAGGAAGAGGAAGAAGCCTCTTGGGCCGTCTTGAGGCGTTGGAATGGCGAGAAGAAACAAATTCCAACATCCTTGAAAAAACTTCAGTAAAATCGATAATGTTGGTCTCTTCGGGCCCTCAGGGAGGACCTCTTGGAGGCCTCTTGGGCCGTCTTGGAGGCTTCTTGGGGGCCTCTTGGGCCGTCCTGGGCAATATTGATACCATCTTAGGCCGTCTTGGATGCATCTTGGGCTGTCTTGGAGGCATCTTGGGGTCATTTTAGACATCTCGGAGGCTGTCGTGGTCGTCTTTGAGGCCTCTTGGGGCCCTCTTGGGGCCGTCTTGGGGGCCCGTGTGCCATCAAGAGGCCCTCTGGGAGGCCTCTTGGGCGATCTTGGGGGCCTCTTGGACCGTCTTGCGCCGTCGGAAAGCCGAAAAGGCGCAAATGCCAAAATCCTTCGAAAGCCTAAAGAAAATCAATGATTTGGGCCTCTTCGGATCCTCCTGGAGGACCTCTTGGAGGCCTCTTGGGTCGTATTGGGCCGTCTTGGAGGCTTCTTGGGCGAACTTGGAGATATTTTGGACTCTCTTGGGCCGTCATGAGGCCGTCTTGGACCATCTTGGGCGGACTTGGAGGCCATCTTGGAGGCCATCTTGGGCCAACGTGGCCATCTTGGAGGCCATCTTGAGCTGTCTTGGAGGAGTTTTTCAGGATTGGGAGCTTTCCGGGTTGCTGGCGGGACGCGCCGGAGGCCCAGGGGGAGTCCGATTGGAAGAACCAAAACCAAAACCGACAGGATCCAGCACGCCAGGCACCCTTGCGATGAATCGACGGGGGGCGGCGGTTGAGCGTTTTGGAGACCTCTTGGGCCGTCTTGGGGGTCTCTTGGGGCCGTCTTGGGCGATCTGTGGGGCACGTGGGCCGTCTCGGGCCGTCGGAAGGCCGAAAAAAAGCAAATGCCACAACCCTTCAAAAACTCTTTGGGAAATCAATGATTTTGGCCTTTTCGGGCCTTCCTGGAGGCCCTCGTGGAGGCCTCTTGGGCCATCTTAAGGTTATCTTCGGCCGTCTTGGTGGGCTCCTGGCCCGTCTGACGCCGTCGGAAGCCGTTTGGGGGGTCTCTCTGGGCCGACTTGGGGCCCTCTTGGAATACTCCAAGGCCGTCTTAGAGGCCATGTTGGGCGTCTTAAAGGCCTCCTGGGCGGTCTTGGGAGCCTCTTGGGCCGTTCTGGGGCCATCTTGGAGGCGATCTTTGGGCGATCTTTGGGGGCTCTTGGGCCGTCTCGGGCCGTCGGAAGGCCGAAAAGAAGCAAATGTCAAAATCCTCACATAAAAGGAAATACATGGTGTTGGCCTTTTCTGACCTTCCTGGAGGCCTCTCGGAGGCCTCTTGGGCCGTCTTGGGCCAGTTTCGAGCCAACTTCGGCCATCTTGGTGGGTTCCTGGCACGTCTGATGCCGTCGGGAGCCGTCTTGGGGGCCTCTCTGGGCCGACTTGGGGCCCTCTTGGGGCGCTTCGGGGCCGTCTTAGAGGCCATCTTGGGCCTCTTGGAGGCTTCGTGGCCCGTCTTGGGGCCCTCTTTGGGCCGTCTTGAGGGGCCTCTTGGGCCGTCAGGGGGGCATCTTGGAGGCCTCGTGGGCGATCTTGCGGCGACCTTGGGGGCCTCTGGGGCCGTCTTGGGTCGTCGAAAAGCCGAAAGGGCGCAAATGCCAAAATCCTTCAACAACCTAGGGAATATCCGAGATTTTCGCCTCTTCGGGCCTTCCTGGAGGACCTCTTGGAGGCCTCTTGGGCTGTCTTGGAGGCCTCTTGGGAGCCTTTTGGGCCGTTTTGGGCAATCTTGAGGCCATCTGAGGCCGTCTTGGGTGCATCTTGAGCCGTGTTGGAGGCATCTTGGGGCCATGTCAGCCGTCTTGGAGGCCATCTTGGCCGTCTTAGACGCCATCTTGGGCCATCTTGGAGCCGTCTGGAACAGAAAAACCCTTTGCAACCACCTCTGGGCAATCTTTCGGTATCCTTCTTTTGGAAAAGAACCAAAACCAAAACCAAAAGGATCCAGCGCGCCAGGCACCCCTGCGATGAATCGACAGGGGGCGGCGGATGTCTAGTGGCCTTCGGCCCATCCCGCAACCGTGCCTGGGTTGTGGGTTAGAGGTCTCTTGGATGTTCGCTCGGATAACGTGGGAGGCCTCTTGGAGGCAGTTTTGAAGCCTATTGGGGGCCATTTGGGGGCCTCTTGGGGCCTTTTTGGGGGGCCTCTTGGGGGCCTCGTTGGGCCTCTAGGAGGCCTCGAATTGTCGGTTCGTGTTCCCCCTCTAGGGGGCGGGGCAGCCCAAGAATTAACGGGAAGGTCAAGGAAATTTGAAAATTTGGGGCCCTAGTCCCCAAGTCCGGAGTACAGGGAACAGAGAACACATGAGAGCCTGGGAGTAACTCCACGTCATGCCTCGAGGCACGGTGGCGGACTTCCTCGCTGCGAGACGCTAGCAACGAAAAAGCCAGGGACGGGGCTGTCGAACAGAGGGCCCAGAACCGGGCAGGCCGATGGGAAGCTGCCTGCGCCAAGTTTGGCAGCGGGCCGGGTGGGGAACCTGTCGGGGGTTGGGCTGGCGGAGGAGTCCGCCGGCGAACGTAAAACGAGGGCGGAGTCGCCGGCGGAAGTTGGCGGAAGTCTAGGCCTCCAAGACGGAGGATCGCTCCGCATCGCCGATGCATCGCCGGTGCGGCTCGATGTGGAGCCCGATGTTCTCCACGCAGACGGTGCCTATGCATTGCCGACGTCGCCGATGCATCGGCGATGCATCGGCGATCCTCCGACCCGATCTACTCGGACCCCATCTAGGAGACCTCCAGGAAGGCTGGCGGAAGCCAGCGCAAGTAAAACAGGGCGCTCCTCCAGAGATGTCAACATTTCTGGATCCAGGGTTGCTGGAACTGGCCAGATGAGCGACGAAGGAAAATGGATTCGTCTTCACCGACATTGGCGCGTAAGCTGCCCGCGTAGGGTCGCGCATAAGCGCCCTTGCTTCCAGCGTAGCGTGCCGCGCTGGCGGCCCGCGTAAGCCACCGGGTAAGGTCGCCATGTCATCTCGCGTAAGACCCGTTTTTGATCGTCGCTCAAAGGAGGGGAGGCCCGCTGCTCGGAGCTGGTCAGGACCCGCGAGCTCCAACGCAGATTGGAGGGCAACATAACACAGGTGACCGCCGTTTCCGGCCTCGGGGGGGTCCTCACTGGGCCTTTGGGCCGTCCAGAGAGCGACTCGGGATGAAGAGCCGGCCCTGGGAAAGGGGTCGGGACTTCCAGAGGATGATGGTGATGATGATAATGATGGTGGTGATGGTGATGGATGGTGATGGTGGTGATGATTATGATGATAATGATAATGCGGATGATGATGCTGATAGTGGTGGTGATGGTGATTGTGGTGGTGATGGTGATGGTGGTGGTGGTGATGGTGACGGTGGTTCAGATGGTGATGCTGATGATGGTGATGATGATGATCATCACTATGATGCTGATACTAATGTTGGTGATGGTGGTGATGATGATGATGCCGATGGTTGTGATGATAATAATAATAATGATGACGATGATGATGGCGATGATGATGATGATGATGATGATGATGATGAGGATGAGGATGAGGATGAGGATGAGGATGATGATAATAATGATGATGATGATGATGATGATGATGATGGGATGTTGGTGATGATGATGATAATGATGACGGCGGTGGTGATGGTGATTATGGTGGTGATGCTGATGATGGTGATGATTATGGTGGTGGTGGTGCTGATGATGATGATGTTGATGATGGTGATGATGATGGCGGTGACCATGATGATGCTGCTGATGATGGTGGTGACGGTGATGCTGCTGATGATGATGATGATGATGATGATGATGATGATGATGATGATGATGATGATGATGGTGGTGATGGTGACGGTGATGGTGGTGGTGTTTATGAGGTTGGTGATTTCTATGACGACGACGACGACGGTTGCGATGAGGATGAGGATGAGGATGAGTACGAAGATGTTAAGGATGCGGAGGATGCTGATGGTGTCGATTATGATGTTGATGATGGTGATGATGATGGTGATGGTGATGGTCATGATGTTGATGATGATGGTGGTGATGATGATAATGATGGTGATGATCCAGATGATGGTGATCAAGCAGTGGGGAACGGGTCGGGACTTCTGGGGCCACCGTGTCAAAGAAATCATGTCATGGGGTCTATGGAGCTGGCTGCGGCACCCAAGTAGCCAGGACAGGCGCCGCGCCGGGGAAGGAGGAGGAGGAGGACGGAGGAGCAGGAGAAGGGAAGAGGAGGAGGAGGAGGAGGAGGAGGAGGAGATAGGAGCAGGAGGAGGAGATGGGAGGAGGGAGGGTAAGGCGAGGAGGAGGAGGAGGAGGACGCCGACGAAGAGGAGGAGGCAGGAGGAGGAGATATCGGCCACGCGCAGAGAGGGATGGGGGAAGCCTTCTTACAAGCACCCCTGCTTCTTAGAAGGCGCGGGGCCGGCGCCTTTAAGAAGCAGCCTCTTTCTAGCACCTCTGTTTCTTAGCAGGCGCGGGACTTATCTGTAGATGAAAGGTCACCGCCTTCTAAGAAGCAGTCTCCTTCTAAGAAAACTTCCCCCCTCCCCCATACCCCCTGTACGCGCCGCCAAAGGAGAAGAGTGGAGGGGGGATGAGGAGGAGAGCCATAACCCCCAAGGCCGTGTGGAACCCGTAAAGCTGTCCTCCCGCCTCGTGCTCGTGCTCTATCAGCGGGAGGACGGCATGAGGGAATCAGAAGAGCAGGAGGAGAAGGGGGGGGAAAGAGGAGGACAAGGAGGAGGGGGATGCAGGAGGAGGGAGGGACGCACAGCAGACTGTTTTCCGCGTTGGACACCGAAAGGAATGGAGGAGAGAGAAGGGGAGAAGCAGGAGGAGCAGCAGCAGCAGGCAGCGACGGTTGGGGCAGGTGATTCCGAGGATCTCGGCCCTGGCGACGAACCGACCCGAAGCTTGAAGCTCGAAGGCGGATCAGGCGCAGGAGGGAATAGGAGGAGGAGGAGGAGGAGGAGGAGGAGGGGGAGGAGGAAGAAAAGGAAGAATAGGAGGCGAAGTAGGAGGAGCGGGAGAAGGAGAGGAAAAGGAGCAGGCGAAGGAAGATGCGGCGGGGAAGCCGGGGAGAGGAGGAGGAGCAGGAGAAGGAGGAGGAGGAGGAGGAGGAGGACGACGACGACGACGAGGACGAGGACGAGGAGGGGGCAGAGGAAGGCGGAAGACGAGAGGGCGAGGAGGCGGGACGGGGGAGGCGGAGCAGGCGGGGGAGGCGGAGGGAGGAGGGAGCCGCCGGACGAGGACGAGCGGGCGCGCGGCGTGCGCAGCCCCCCACGTGGGAGGCCAGCCCGTGGAGTTCGCCGTGATGTGCAACCAGCGCGGGCAGCCGCAGGCCTTCGACGTCAACTGGCTGCCGCGCCTGGACCGGCCGCAGCCGCGCACCGCAGGCCGCCCCTCCCCAGGGTGGCGGCGGCGAGCGGCGGCGTGCGAGCGGCGACCGCGGCGGCGGCGACGGCGGGGAGCACGACTCGCGGCGCCAGCACCAGAGGGAGGAGGAGGGGGAGGGGTAGAGGCGGAGGGAGAGTGGCGAGGATGAAGGGCAGGGGGGAGGGCGAGGGGGACGCAGAGGTCGAGGGCGAGGAGGAGGAAGAGGCGGAGGGGAGGAGGAGGAGGAGGAGGAGGAGGAGGAGGAGGAGGAGGAGGACAAGTGCAAGCACAAGACGCATCAACGATGTTGCAGTTAACCCTCTCACCAAGTTCCCTCTGCATAGGTCCCTACAAGAAGTTGTTCTCATTGCGGGAAGTGGCACATTAGAAGACAATCGCGTGATAAGGTTCAATCGTACCAAAACCTCATACCTGGGACGTCAACGCCGCGAATAAACGCGACTGCTGCGTCGTGACAACCCTAAGTCGCGCCAGAGCACCATCCCTCGATCTTCAACACAGCGAATCAACGTGACTGCTGCGTCATGGCAGTCCTCAACCGTGTCAGAGCACCATTCCTAGGACTTCGACAACACGAGTCCTTGAAGCTGCTGCAAACTTTGGGCACGAATGCGCGCGGCGCTAAAGCGAGAGCCACATGCGGCGCTGCAGCGAGAGCCACGCTCTGCTGTAAGCCACCGTGTCTTCCATCCGGGATGCGGCTGCAACCGTCTAACATGGGTGTGTGTGTGTGTGTGCGCGCGGTGCCGAGGCGAGAGACACGTTCTGAAGAGGACCCGGCCCCCAGCCGCGAAGCTGTTGGAACTCTTCGAGACCAGCGTGCGCGGCGCCACGACGAGCGCCACGCTGCGAAAAAAAAAAAAAGGAGCCCCGGCCTCCCTCCGTGGAGCCGCTGCAGACGTCCAGCCTTCAAGGTCATGCATGGCGAGGAAGTCTCCTGCGACACGCCCGGCCCGCCCCACCAGGTGGAGGAGGAGGGGCGCAGAATTTCGGCGTCGCGATTTCTCCAGAAAAGGGGCCCCTGGAGATCATCCTCAACCGTGTTTTGACGGTCCGGGGGCCCGGCGGAGCCCCTCCCATGTCGACGACCGTCAAAACGTTGCCGCTGCGATTTCTCCGCAACGAGATGCGGAGGGGGGTGGGGGGAGCGCTTTGGGCCGTTTCGGCCGAGGCACAGTCCAGCTCCTGGGAGAGTTAGCGCGCCCCCCTTTGGCACCATGGCGCGACGAGCGTGCTCGCGCCGAACGGTGCTGCTGGCGGCTGCCAGAGCAGAAGCCGCCGCGCTGCGACCAGGAAGAAGGCCCTGGGCCAACCGCCGTACATGATTGAGCCCTCTCGTAGAGATCTGCCCGAGCACCCGCCAAGTAGGAGGTGGGAGGGAGAAGGGAGAGGAGGGAGGGAGGAATGGAGACGGGGGGGAAGACGAGGAGGGGAGGGAGGAGGAGGGAGGGAGACGAGCGGGGGGGAGGGGAAGACGAGAGGGGAATAGAGGAGAGAGGGAGGGAGGCGAGGGGGGGAAGACGAGGGGGGAGAGGGGGGAGAGGAGGGGGCAGCAGGATGGGGACCCGCAGCAGCAGCAGCAGCAGAAGGCGGGGGGACCTGCAGGTCAGGAGCCGAGGGAGCGCGAAGCCGCGATTGGCGGAGCAGCGAGCAGCAACACGGGGCGGCCAGGCCTGCCCGTATGTCGAGCCGGGCGACACGGCAGGGCAGAGGGAGAGGCTGCTCCTGCTCCTGTTCTGGCCGAGAGCGTCCTGCTTTCACACATCGGGTCCTGCATTCTAAGAACAGCGCTTTTCGTTTTTCAAAGATTTGTGGGGTTCTACGAACATGTCGTGGTAGGCCTATAGGAATGCCGGGACTGTCGGTTCCTGCTCAAAAAAGGGGGGGGACGAAATCTGTTGAGTAGAGCTGGTCTCGGCCCCGCCGCCGGGCCCCTTCCTCGATGCACGGGCGCCTCCCGGCGCCAGGAGGCGCCAGGCAAAGCAGCTACGTGAGCCGATTCTCTGTACCCTTCCCTTGGCTATCCTACCCTCCCTATACCGTGGCCAGGCTCGGGCTTCAGGGCGCTCCAGGGAGGGCGCCGCCCTCTGCGCGCCTCGGGGAGGCACAGACCCAGACCTCTGCTCGCGCCGCGAAGAAAAGCACGACGGAGGAGGAGGGAGGAGGGAGGAGGGAGGAGGGAGGAGGGAGGAGGGAGGAGGGAGGAGGAGGGGGAGGAGGGAGGAGGAGGGAGGAGGAGGGAGGAGGGAGGAGGGAGGAGGGAGGAGGGAGGAGGAGGAGGAGAGGAGGAGGAGGAGGAGGAGGAGGAGGAGGAGGAGGAGGAGGAGGAGGAGGAGGAGGAGGGAGGAGGAGGAGGAGGAGGACGACGACGAGGAGGAGGAGGAGGAGGAGGAGGAGGAGGAGGAGGAGGAGGAGGAGGAGGAGGAGGAGGGGGAGCCCCACGACGGGAGCCGCTTTCAGCCCCTGGGGCCCGTACCCAGCCCTGTGAGCGTCAGGCACCGACCCCCTCGGGAGGCAGAGCCGGGCTCTGCCCAGGGGGAAGGGGGAAGGGCCGGCACTCCCGGGGGCCCCGGTGGGGACAAGAGTCTGGGCACCACGTGTCTGGGATGATTTCACGGCCGTCGTCTTCGCCGGGTGTTCGGGCGGGCCAGGACTTCCGGGGGCCCCGTGGGGAAAAGAATTGGCATGACGTGTCTGGGATGATGTCACGGCCGTCGTCTTCGCCGGGTTTTCGGGCGAGCTGGGACTTCTGGGGACCTCGTGTGGAACAAATCTGGGCATCACGTGTCTGGGATTATGTGACAGCCCTCGTCTTCGCCGGCTTTTCGGGCGAGCTGAGACTTCCGGGGGCCCCGTGGGGAAAAGAAAATTGGACATGCCGTGTCTGGGATGATTTCACGGCCGTCGTCTTCGCCGGGTTTTCGGGCGAGCAAATCTGGACACCACGTGTCTGGGATTATGTCACGGCCGTCGTCTTCGCCTGGTTTTCGGGCGAGCTGAGACTTCCGGGACCCCGTGTGGAACAAATCTGGACATCACGTGTCGGGGATTATGTCACAGCCGTCGTTTTCGCCAGGTTTTCGGGCGAGCTGGGACTTCTGGGGACCCCGTGTGGAACAAATCTGGGTATCACGTGTCTGGGATTATGTGACAGCCGTCGTCTTCGCTGGGTTTTCGGGCGGGTCGGGACTTCCGGGGGCCCCGTGGGGAAAAGAAAATTGGACATGACCGGTCTGGGATGATGTCACGGCCGTCGTCTTCGCCGGGTTATCGGGCGAGCAAATCTGGACACCACGTGTCTGGGATTATGCCACGGCCGTCGTCTTCGCCTGGTTTTCGGGCGAGTTGGGACTTCCGGGACCCCGTGTGGAACAAATCTGGACATCACGTGTCGGGGATTATGTCACAGCCGTCGTTTTCGCCGGGTTTTCGGGCGGGCCGGGACTTCCGGGGACACCGTATGGAAAAAAATTGACCATCGCACGTCTGGGATTAATTCGCGGCCGTCGTTTTCGCAGGGTTTTCGGGCGGTCCAGGACTTCGGGGACCCGATGTGGAAAAAATCTGGACATCACATGTCTGGGATTATGTCACAGCCGTCGTTTTCGCATGGCTTTCGGGCCCCAGGGCCACCACAGAGCGATCCCCCTCGCAAATTGGAACGGCGCAGAAGGATGTTGTCCAGGGCTCTGGTCGCCATGTGTCGCGAGTCGGATCTCAGGGTAAGGCGCTTTGGCTTAGCGTGTCGCGCCGCCGGTTCTGGCCCACCGCGTTTCGGAGCGATACGCTATCCACGTCCCCATTTCAAACGTCAACGGTCAACGTCCCGAGCCTTTCCCGACCTCCCGCACCGCGGAGCGGAGCGACACGCTATCCGCTCGCAAGGCACAGCATGTCGACGGGGCCACCACCGCGACACGGTACGCAAAAGTTCCTGACCGTAAGGGGCGCGGATTTCGCGACGGATCTTGTATGCAGAGCCGGCGCGATCCGCAGGGGTGTTTTCCCCGATCCGTGGATTTGGCGCCAATGTGATCGTTTTTTTATTCATTGTTTTGCCGATCGGCGCCGGCCCCAAAACCCCGCCTCCCCCACCCCGCCCTGGAGTAGATCTTGGCTGTTTTGGGGCGCCTGTTTCGAGCGGGTGGAGTCCCCCAGAGGCAGCACTCTTTCAAACAGTCGCACTACGCAGAGGTCTGGAGCCAGATCCCCCCCACCTTTCCGCCCAGTGTCGAAACGCCAAATAAAAAACGCTCACGATTCGCCGGAGCCACGAATCCCATGTATATATATATATATATATATATCTATATATATATATATATTATATATATATATATATATATATATATTCTCATACGCACCTCTCCGAGGGAGTAGAGCTCAGAGGCGATTAATGCGTCCGTCGTTCGCGATTTTTCTGGCCGTTTCGCTCGGGACATCCTCGAAATTCTGAAAATCGGTGGCACCCCTCACGCAGATCGTGACGTCAGGGTCCAAAAACACATAGGATTTCCAACATTTTATCATAAAACCTTCAAAAACACATGGTAATTTCAATGATTTTGATTCCGATTCTCAGAGAATGGCGGTTTCGCCTGAGACATCCTCCCAAAATCGAGCCCCAGACCCCTCCTCGGAGCCTCCTGGGGGCCTCCTGGAACCTCCTGGGGCCTCCTGGGGCTTTCTGGACCTTCTGGTACCCCAGACCCCGCCTCGGAGCCTCCTGGAGTTCTCCTGGGCCTGCTGAGGCCGCCTGGGGCCTCCTGGGGCCTCCTGGGGCTTCAGAACTACATGCACACACAGAGACACAAATCACGCCCAACACATCACACGCTAGACAAACATAACATACACACACACACACACACCGACAACACGCAAAAAGCACGCACCACACAAAGCACACATCACACACACACACACACTCACAATCCTGGGGCCTCCTGGAGCCTCTTCTGGTATCCAAGTCGGGCCTCCTGAGGCTTCCTGGGGGGCCCTGGTACACACATCGCAAGGTGTGGCAACCCCACTTGCGCTCGAGTGCGACTTCGCTGTTGCATGTCACTCCTGCTTCAAACGCCCCTTCAGCTTGTTGTATGAGCCTGGGCACACACGTGCCACTTGTATATATATATATATAGATCAGAGTGCGCCTGAGCATCTCGCCCTCGGCGGGCCCAGCCATCCTCACGTCGTGAAGAATCACGGCGGGCGGTTTTGCGGACGATTTTTTGCCTTCGGGGAGCCCTCACCGGGCTGGAGTGCTTCTCCGAAGGGCTCAGGCGACCCGTCCTCCTTCTCCTCCTCCTCCTCCGCCTCCTCCTCCTCCCCCTCCTCCTCCTCCCTCCCGGTTCCCCCGGGAATCCGGATCACAGGAACCCGGAAATCTGGATTTCCGGGTTCTCGGGCGGAACCCCTTGCAAAAACCCGGAAATCCAGATTTCCGGGTTCCCGCGCCCCCCCCTCAGGCGCGCTCGTTTCTCGTTTTCCTCTCCCCCCTCGTCCTCCTCGTCAACCCTTTCCTTTCCCTGCCCTGCTCTTCCTCCTGCGTGGTTCTCCTCCTCCTCCTCCTCCTCCTCCTCCTCCTCCTCCTCCCCCTCCTCCTCGCCAGATTTCCGATTCTCGTGCAGGACCCCTTGCAAAAACCCGGAAATCCAGATTTCCGGGTTCCCGCGCCCCCCCCTCAGGCGCGCCCTCTTCCCGTTTTCCTTGTCCTTTTCGTCCTCCCCCCTCCAGTCGTCGTCGTCATCATCATCATCATCATCATCATCATCATCATCATCATCATCATCATCATCATCATCGTCATCACCATCATCGGCATCGTCATCATCAGCATCATCATCACCATCGTCGTCATCATCATCACTATCATCATCGTCGTCGTCATCATCATCATCATGATCATCATCATCACCATCATCAGCATCATCATCGCCAGCATCCTCATGGTCATCATCATCATCATCACCATCATCACCATCACAACCACAATCATGAGCATCCTCATCAGCAGTATCAGCATCATCGTCGTCGTGGTCGCCGTCGCCGTCGTCGTGGGCGTCGTCGGCCTTAAGAACACCCGAACAGATCATCTTCGTCGCCGCCGCAATCGTTGTCGACGTCGTCGCCCTAGTTGTCGTGATTGGTGGTCATCGTCATCGCCATCATCACCATCATCAGCATCATCATCGCCCTCGTCATCGTCATCATCGTTATCGTTGTCATTATCGTCATCGACATCGCCATCGCCATCGTCATCCCCATCGTCGTCGGCGTCAGCATCATGATCATCATCGTTAGTATCATCATGGTCAGCGTCATAATCATACTGAACATCATCACCACCAGCATTATCATCCCCACCGTCGTCGTCAACACCATCGGCATCCTCATCATCATCATCATCATCATCATCATCATCGTCATCGTCACCGTCATCGTCTTCGTCATCGTCATCAGCATCCTCGTGGTCAGCATCGTCACCATCGACTCGACATCTGCAGGATATATTCTTCATCGTGCTCGTCATCGAAGTGGGCATCAGCACCAGCATTACCAGCATCAGAATCCACGCCGTCATCATCACCATTAGCATCATCATCATCATCATCATCATCATCGTCGACATTGTCCTCATCGTCGTCCTCATCGTCGCCATCGTCGTCCTCATCCACATCGTCCTCATCGTCGTCCTCATCGTCGTCGCCATCGTCGTCCTCATCGTCGTCGCCATCGTCGTCCTCATGCTCAGCATCATCATCCACATTGTCCTCATCGTCATCGCCATCGTCGTCATCAGCAGCATTAGCAGGAACACCATAATCAGATCACAAGCATCATCATCAGCATCAGCACCACGTCGGCACGGGCTCTTAGCAGATGATTGACAGGGCACTGCCCACCCACGAGGAAAAGAAACGCACCCTCACCCTCGTCATCATCAGGATCATCATATTCGTCATTATCCTTCGCCCGCCCCTCATCCACCTCCTCGTTCTCCTCATCCTTCTGATCCTCCTCCTCCTCCTCCCAGCCTCCTCCTCCTCCTCCACCTCATTCCTGCCTCGTCGTCCTCACCATTCGTGCTGCTCCTCTGGGGGGGTCCCACTTTTCTGCAACCCCCCCTTGAGTTGTCGACAACATCATCATCATCATCATCATCATCATCATCATCATCACCATCACCATCACCACCATCATCATCATCATCATCATCATCATCATCATCATCATCATCATCATCATCATCATCATCATCATCGTGCTCATCGTCGTCATCGTCATCATCGTTCTCACCATCCCTCTCCCCCTCATCATCGACATCATCGTCAGCCTCCAGACCAACATACCAATCATCATAGCCATCGGCAACATATTCCACATTACCATCATCGTCGTCGTGATCATCACCTTCATCATCACCCTCATCATCTTCCCCGACAGGGCAAACAACGTACCATAATAAGTTTGCTGATCACCAGCGGCGCCGATAGTAGCAGCAGCGTCAACAGCATCCGCATCACCACCGTGGTGAACAATCATCATCATCATCGTCATGATCAACCTCGTCAGCGTCATCGGCATCATCGTGATCTTCAGCTGTGCTGTCGGTGTCATCCACACCATCGCCGACGTTACCATCATCGCACTGAGATTTACCACACTCGTGATCTTCATCAGTTCCGTCGGCACCGTTAAGAAGAACCATCATCATCATCGTCACTGGCGCCGTCGTCGTCAGCATCGTCAGTCCCATGCTTCTGGCCGTCGTCGCCATCTGAAGGATCAGATCGTTGACAGGGCACTGTCCACCCAGGGGGGGAATATCCCGATCCTCACCCTCGTCCTCATCATACTCGTCATTATCCTCCGCACTTCCCTCATTCACCTCCTCGTCCTCCTTATCCTCCTGATCATCCTCCATCTCCTCCTTCCTGCCTCCTCCTTGTCATCTTCCTCCTCCCCCCCCTCTCCCCCAGCGCCCGCGGGTGGACGCCAGAGAGGTCGCAGACCCGCATCGAACGGCGCGCGGCTGCGCGGGGCAGAGGGGGGAGGACTGGGGAGGAGAGGAAGGGAGGATGGGATGAGGAGGACGATGAGGAGGAAGAGGACGACGACGACGATGATGGCGGCTGCGTTGACGACGACAACGACGACGACGACGACGACGACGACGACGACGACGACGACGACGACGACGAGAGAGAGAGAGGGAGGATGGGATGGGGAGAATATAGAGGGGGAAGAGGAGGAGGAGGAGGAGGAGGAGGACGAGGGGAGGAAAAGGAACAGGAGGAGGAAACAGGAGCTGGAGGGGACGCCGCTGGAGGCGCGGGCCACGCGGCTCCAAGATGACCCTGACACGGCTCCCAGTGGCCACGGAGCCGGAGGGTAGGAGGAGGACGATGACGGCGGCTGCGTCTCCTCCTCCTCCCGTCTCCTCCTCCTCGCGTCTCCTCCTCCTCCCGTCTCCTCCTCCTCGCGTCTCCTCCTCCTCGCGTCTCCTCCTCCTCCCTCTCCTTCTCCTCTCTCCTCCTCCTCGCGTCTCCTCCTCCTCGCGTCTCCTCCTCCTCGCGTCTCCTCCTCCTCGCGTCTCCTCCTCCTCGCGTCTCCTCCTCCTCCCGTCTCCTCCTCCTCGCGTCTCCTCCTCCTCCCGTCTCCTCCTCCTCGCGTCTCCTCCTCCTCGCGTCTCCTCCTCCTCGCGTCTCCTCCTCCTCCTCTCCTCCTCCTCGCGTCTCCTCCTCCTCGCGTCTCCTCCTCCTCGCGTCTCCTCCTCCTCGCGTCTCCTCCTCCTCGCGTCTCCTCCTCCTCCCCTCTTCTCATCCTCGCGTCTCCTCCTCCTCCCCTCTTCTCCTCCGCCCCTCTTCTCCTCTTCTTCCTCTTCTTCCTCTTCCTTCCTCCTCTTCCTTCCCCCTTCCAGAAACCCGGAAATCCAGATTTCCGGGTTTCTGGAAGGGGAGGCCGAAGGTCTCCCCAGGAAAACCCGGAAATCGAGATTTCCGGGTTTTGTGATCGTGATCCCCGGGTTTTTCCCTCCTCCTCCTCCTCCTCCTCCTCCTCCTCCTCCTCGGGTCGCCTAAGGCCCTGGGGGAAACCGTGCACACTGGGCTCCTGGGACCATCACGAACGACTCGGGGTGAAAAGCTGGTCACTGGGAATGGGTCCAGACCTCCAGAGGTCCACGCGAAAAAGATCGCGACGAAGGAGGTCTGGAGAAGGTCGTCAGCGGAAGCAGAGCGGTGGTGATTCTGCCGGCGAGAGGCCAGCGGAAGAAAAAGTGAGACGCCAGCATGTTTGGGTTCAGGGTTTTTGGCGTTGCCCGGACAGGGCCGCGTTGGGGACGGATCGACATGTTCAGCATGCTAAAGTGGAAACCCATGCCAAGAAACACCCCGCTTGCCTCCAGGGGGCCTTGGGCTTCTTGAGTTTCGATGGTTTTGCCATGGGAAGCATGACGTCCTCACACCCAGAGATCAGTAGACGTCCTGGGGTCTCAGGGTTGTGCTTCTTGTGGAAGGTGTCTCGTGGTCGAGCTCCTGCTGTAATCGGGGAATCGGCAACCACATGGTGCATGCTCCCGGGCCCCCCAAGCGGTTTTTTTTTGTTTTTTTTTGTTTTTTTTTTTGTTTTTTTTTTTTTCGTTTTTTTTTGCAATCCTTCGTTTTTTTTTGCAATCCTGCGCCAATGGGGTCGGATGATCGGTGTGCACCGTCGACGCGTCGGCGCCCCGGCACGGTGTCGAGCACGAGGTTTTTCCTTCGACGTCCGCCGACGCATCGGCGACGCCTGCGATCCTCACCGAGCGCGTCCCGCTGCTCGCAGCGGGCCTGCTCGCAAGCGCCCGACAAAACGGGGCAGGATGTCGAGCACGAGGTTTTTCCTTCGACGTCCGCCGATGCATCGGCGACGCCTGCGATCCTCACCGAGCGCGTCCCGCTGCTCGCAACGGGCCTGCTCGCAAGCGCCCGACAAGACGGGGCAGGTCTTCATCGACGTCGCGTATCGCAGATCCCCCGCGGCAGATCCGGGCCATCTGCGTGCAGCTACTCCGCCATGAGTGGAACGCGCTTGCCCAGATCCAACGAGCCCCCATCTACTTTGGCCCCATGTGGGGGTCCTCCAACGTTCCACATTGTGCGAGCTCCCCCGTGCAAATTCCGGAGGGTTCGATTACGGTGCAAAGTTGTTGCTCGCACGCCTTGCTTCCCAGGCCGAGCTCGAAGTCCACGGGGGCTCCGCTGGCGTTGATCGGAGAGATAGGGAGAAAAGGAGAGAGAGAGAGAGAGTGAGAGAGTGAGAGAGACACACACATACACACAGACGCACACAGACACAGAGACACACACGCAGACAGACAGGCACACACAGAGACACACACACACACATACACACAGACACACACACACACACAGACACGCAGAGACACACTCAGACAAACACACCAACACACAGACACACTCGCACAAACGCAGACACACACAGAGACAGGCAGGCACACACAGACACACCAACACACACACCCACACAGACACACACACAGACGCACGCACACACAGACACAAACACAGACACACACACACACGCAGACCTTCGCACGGATACAGACACACGCAGGCACACACACACACACGCACACACACACACACGCACACAGTCGCACACACAGACACAGACACACAGAGACCTACACAGACACACAGACACACCGCGAAGACACACAGACACACACTCACAGACACACAAACACACAGACAACACACACAGACACACAGACACACCAACACACAGACAAACACTCAGACACACGCACACACCGACACACACCGACACGACACACACACATACACACAGGCATCAACACACGCACACACACGCACACACACACAAACGCAAACACACAGACAGAGCCACACAGACACGCACAGACAAACACTCAGACACACACCGGCACACACACAGACACACTGAGGCACACAGAGATACACAGAGACACACAAAGACACACACAGAGACAGCGACACACGGAGACACACACAGACACACACAGACACACAAAGACACAGGCACAAAGAGACACCGAGACACACAGAGACACGCAGAGACACACAAAGACACGCAGAGACACTCAGAGACACGCAGAGACATGAAGAAACAGACAGAGACACGCAGAGTCACACAGAGACACACAGAGACACACAGACACACACAGACACACAAAGACATCAGAGACACACAGAAGCACACAGAGACACACACACACAGACACATAGAGACACAAAGAGACGCAGAGACACACACAGACACACAAGCACACACAGACAAACACAGACGCACAGATACAAACACAGACACACAGAGACACACACGCAGACACACGGACACACACACACAGACACAGACACACGGACTCGAACAGACACACAGAGACATACAGAAGCACACAGACGCATACAGACACACACGCACGCGCACATACACACACAGTCAACATACACAGACACACACAGACACACACACACACAGACAGACACAGACTGACACACACACAGACGCACACGCACAGACACACAAACTCACGCACACACAGACACACAGACACACACACACAGACAGAGACACACAGACACACACACACAGTAACACACACCGACACACACCGACACACACACACACACGCACACAGACATACACAGACACACGCAGACACACACACACACACGCACACACACACACAGACACACACAGACACACACACACAGACATACACAGACACACAGACAGACACACACATACACATTCACACACTTGTAAAGCCGGCGGCGCAGAGGAACCTCAGGGGTGGTCGGCAGATGGAGGTGCCAATTGCGAACGAATTTAGTCGAATGCGCCGTGATAAAAGAATCCAGCCACGGCCATGCAGATTGGTAGCGGTGGTCAAAAAATGACGCACTGCCAAGCCAAAGTGCAGCGGCCAAGCATCCCGCGGAGCGTGTTCGACGCCAGGAGCCGGAGCGCGGGCAGCAGTCTGGTGCGAATTAGCCAGCGAAGTGCAACGGCAAAGCCTCCCGCGGCACGCAGCTCGACGCGAGGAGCTGAAGCGCGGCAGCAGTCTGGTGCTAGTAGCAAATATCAAGAAAAGCATTGCAAGGCTGCCAGACCAGCAGCACGCGGCGGCACAAGACAGGCACGGGCGAGACAGGCGCACACACACTCACACACACACACACGCAACACACACACACACACACGCACACACACACACACGCTCACACACAACAATCACCCACCCACCCACCCACCCACCCACCCACGCACACACACACACACACACACACACGCGCACACACACACACACAGTTCGCAGCGCGCGTCCACGTGCGGCCGACGGGGCAACCAGCGCCCCGCTCGGCAGACCCTGTTGGTTTGGGCAGGGCGATACGCGAGGGTACTACGAGAGGCCACGTCGGCGTGTGGCCACGAGAAACGGAGAGAAGGAGACCGCTTTGTGTATCACGCCGCGCGTTTGTAAAGCAACGCACGTCTATCTGAAGCAGCCAGAGCTCTTCGCAGAAGGGCAGTCCGTCTGGGCAGTGGGCAGCCGTTGCTGACGAGCATCGCCCCGGACGGCGGACGTCGGATCGATATACCCGAGCCTCCCTTTTTTATATGAACACGTAGTAGTAACGATAATGATAGCAGTAACGCTACGAATGATAATACGAATGGTCTGACTGATTGTTACATATAAACGGATTATACATACATATCCTAACCTCCCTTCTCGCCGCCCGGACATGCAGGTGCTGGCGGTGGCTTGAGCACTGGCGGCACTGGAGATACCTCAGGAACGGAGTGGGAGGCACGAGGGCGCAGCAGGAGGATGAAGAGGACGTGAGCGAGGAGGAGGGAGGGCGGGAAGAGTCGTTGGCACCGTGGCTCGGATACGGTAGAAGCGAACTCGCAGGGTCCGCCAGCGGACTCACGTGTTTATTGACAGGATTGCGCGTGGTGCATCATGCGCGATTACGTTCAGTGCAGGTAGACTCGTCACAACAGCAACCATTGCCACTACTATCATTGTTGATACTATCCAGCTGCATGTGAGCGAGGTGCGGATTCCCCAACAAATCAATATCTTCCTCATCCTCCTCCTCCCTGCTCGTCCTCGTCCGCTTCCTCCTCACCCCCCCCCACACTCCTCCCATCTTCCGCGCGATGGGCTTGACTTACAATGCTGGCCCCTGGCAGCAGTTGCCCACCAGCCCACGCCAGGGCTGGCTCCAGGCTCCGTGGGCTTGGGCCCGGCCTCGGGTGGCTGCATGTCTGTGGTTTCGGTTTTGGGGTGAGTTTTCTGCTGGCCGTGTACTGCTCGCCTCTCGTGTTTTCTCTCTGCTTATCCTCGTCCCCTCTTTCCTCGTCTGCCTGGTCGCTGCGGCCTGCTGTTGGCTACACGTAGTCAAGCTTCGTCTGTGCGCTCGTTGTGCAAGCGCGGCTAAACGAGACCAACTCGGGGCTCCCCTGTCAGGGTTTGGGCATCCTTTAAACATCGCCGTTGCTCTCGACGCACACGGCAGTTCGCTCATTGTCAATGTGTGTGTGTCTTTGTGTGGAGGTTCAGTTTCGCTCGACGTCGGCCGTTACCGTCGCGCCGCTTCCGCTTTCCTTGTTCCCTCCTGCTCATTCCCTACTCATCCTTCCTCATCCCTCCCTCCCTCCTCCTTACTCTTCATATCTCCTCATCCTCCTCATCCCTCGCACTCCTCCAATTTTCTCCCCCTCCTCTCCTCATTCATCCTCCTCCTCCTCCTCCTCATCATCATCATCAGCAGCAGCAGCAGCATCATTATCCTCCCCCTCTTCCTCATTCCTCCTCCTCATCAGCATCAGCATCATCATCATCGTACCCATTATCATCATCACCATCATCAGCAGCATCATCACCATCATCATCAGCATCACCATCAGCAGCAACATCATGATCCCTCCTCCTCTTCCCTCGTTCCTCCTCCCTCACTCCTCCTCTCTCACTCCCTCCTCCCTCACTCCCTCCTGCCTCCTCCTCCCCCCCCCCTCCTCTTCGAGCCCCCCCCCCCCAGGGGGGGCCGCGCGGAGCGCCGCCCCCTGCCGCGAGCGAGCGCGCGGGAGGGGGGCAGGATCCAGCGGCCAGGGCGCGGCGGCAGCGGCGGCCTCGGCCAAGCAGGCGGTGCCACCCGCCCGCCGCCGCCGCCGTCCGACGTCGCCGTCGTCGCTGCCGCCGTCGGTTGCCGCCGTCGTCCCCGCCGCGCCGTCGTCGCCATCGCCGTCGTGATCGTCGCCGTCGTCGCTGCCGTCGTCACCGTCGTGTTCGTCGTCGCCGTCGTGGTCGTCGCCGTCGTCGCTGCCGTCGCCGTCGCCGGTCGTCGCCATTGTCGCTGCCGCCGTCGTAGGCGCCTGCGCCTCGTGCGGAGGGGTTACTGGGACGCCCAGGTCGCCCCGCGCGGCCGCCTGAGGCCCGAGCTGTGGCCCAGAACCCAGAGGTACGGTAGGTTTGCGTCGTGTCGACCAGCGGCGACCCCAGCGCGGGCGTTCAAGGTTGAACGCCGCCGGCGACCCAGAATCGATCGATGTTGAACGATCGGACGTTGCGGCAGCGGCCGATCGTTCAAGGTTGAACGATCCCTGCGGTGTCAAAAACCAACGCTGGGGTCGGCACGACACGAACCTGCCGCACACTGTTCGTTCCCAATCCCTCGAAGGTTCTTTGATTTTCTGGGGGCCGGGATCCTTTCGTTTCTGATTGTTCTGTCCTGGGCCTCCTCCTGGCCACCAGGGGGGGCCACGAACAATTAGAAACGAGCACCATTAGACATGAGCACGATCGGAAATGAGCGACGTGCACGTTCAACATGTTCAAAATATCCAGACGGAGGTTTTGCGTAGGTTTCTGCTCTCCGCCGCCAAAGAACAACTCAGGATGACAGAATGCCTTGGGGAAGGGTCGGGACTTCCATGGACCCCATATTGAGAAATCAAGGCATCGAAGGTCCGGGTCGTCGCCGACGCCGTCGTCCTCGTCGCCGATCGGGGATCGCGAATCGAACACCGAGAAGACGTTCACAGGTTTTTGCCTCTGGATGCATGCTCCAGACCCGAGGACCGTCGTCGTCGTTCTTCGGGTCCTCGTCGTCCTCTTCCTTCTCGTCCTGCCCTTTCTCGTCCTCCTTCCCCGTCTCAGGCGTCCTCGTCGTCGTCCCCTTCCTCGTCGTCGTGCCTTGTGTGCGGCAGCATCGTTAATGCATCCTGGGCTTCCCTCTGATCCTCGTCCTCCTCCTCCTCCTCATCGTCCCCCATTCCTCGTCCTCCCGATCGTACTCCTCCCCTTGCTCCGAGGCTCCATCCTCACACTCGTTCTCCTCGTCCTCATGGCCATATTTACACTCCTCCTCCTCCTCCTCCTCATCCTCCTCCTCATCCCACTCCTATCAGCAACGACTGTCAGCTCACGAGTCTCACTGCGCAGCGCGGTGAGCCAACACCTAGATGTTGCCAAGGTTCGACACGACTCATCCTCCTTTCACGCTGCACGGACTGTGATCTGATCTCCTCCTCATATTCCTCCTCATCCTCTTCCTCTTCCTCATCCTCCTTCCCCTCATCATCATCAGCATCATCAGCATCCTCATCCTCGCCTCATCCTCATCCTCCTCCCTCTCATTCCTCCCCCCTCTCCTCCTCCTCCTCCTCCTCCTCCCCCTCCTCCTCGTCCTCCTCCTCCTCCTGATATGCTCCAGCGCGCGGCACAGGGGGCCGTGATTCGGGTGGATCCCAGACCGCGAAGGAAGTCGAGTCAATTTATCATCGTCGTCGCCCTCCTCCTCCTCCTCGCGCTTATCCTCCTCTGCCCGCGCTGCCGACTCCCAGGCTTCATCCTCGCCCGCCTCATCCTCCCTTGTCCCCCCCTCAGCATCACCATCCTCTTCTCGGGTGTTCCTCTCCCTTCTCCTCTTTGCACACGTCGCCTTCCCCTTCCTTCTCGGTGCCACCCCCCTGCTCACATAATCAGCAGCAGCCTCACCAGCATCACCATTACCATCACCATCATCAGATTAGCCACCTTGGACCACAAACAGTGCGTGCGTGTGTCTAGTCGTACATGGCGTGCACTATATATCTATATAAATATGTGTGTATGTATGTATGTATGTAGGTAGGCAGGTAGATATGTAGGTAGGTAGGTAGGTAGGTAGGTAGGTAGGTAGGTAGGTAGGTAGGTATGTAGGTATGTATGTATGTATGTGTGCGTGGGACGTGTGGAGCAGTTCATGTTGTGAAACATAGGTGTTGCACGATGTGGTGTGCAATACATTATGTGCCATGTATGTGGTGCATGTAGTGCCATCTACGTGGTGCACGTTATGTGGTGCAATTGATGTGGTGCGCAACGTATACGGTGTAAGCGACGCGTTACAATCTAAACGATACAAGTTAGATGTATACGTGTAAAGTGATGTTATGTTGGGCAACCCATGTGGCACAACCTATGTGGTGCAACTCACTTTGACCGTCTCGAAGCTGTCCTCCTTATTGCTCGTGCAAACATCCCACCCTCCCACCCGCAACTTGGTCGCAAGACTTCTTAAGACAAGACCGTGACGGTAGGTACCACATGGCACTTGGCCACGACACCGACGCCGACGACCACAGCGACAATGACGACGACGGCGCCGCAGACACCGACTACGACGACACCGCCGACGTCGACGAAGACGATGACGACGCCGACGACGACGACGACGAAGACGACGACGTCGCCAACGGAGACGACGACGAGGGAGGAGAAAAAACGACGACGGCGACAACGACGACAACGACGATGGAGGAGGGAAGACGGCGACGACGCCAACGACGAAGAAGGAGGAAGGACGGCGACGCCGACGACGACAACGACGAGGGAGGAGGGAAGACGACGACGATGACAACGACGACGAAGACGACGACGACGGACGAAATAGGAGGGACGACGACGAGACGCCGACGACGGACGACGACGACGGACGAGGGAGGATAACGACGAGGGAGGAGTGAAGACCACGACGACGACGACGACGACGACGACGGCGACGAAATAGGAGGGACAACGACGAGACGCCGACGAAGACGACGAGGGAGGAAGGACGACCACGGCGACAACGACGACGGAAGCGACGACGACGCCAAGACGACGACGACGACGAGGAAAGACAGCAGACGACGACTGCGACGACGACGACGACGACGACGAGGGAGGAGGGAGGACGATGACGACGACGACGCAAGAGCGTGCGCGCACGCTTTTGTTGAAAACCCGTGTTACGAAACCTTGTGCTTTTGTAGGTTTTTTGGACACACGATTTTGGAATCTCTCCGAAACCTAAGGTTTTTGAAGGATTTCGGCATACGCGCGGGACTTCGCGCGCGCCTGCTCTTCGTCCCATTTTTTGCAGAGGATTCTCGCGACGGCACACGCGCAAGGGCGTTCGACAGATTTCGACATGCGCGCGCGGAGCCCGTTTGGTAGCATGTTTTGAAAAATCTTGAAAAACATATGGTTTTCGTAAGATTTCGCAAGAGCTCGCGCGGAAGCTTCTGTGTTGCGAAACCATGTGATGTTGTATGTTTTATGGAAATTCAATTTTGAAATCTCTCCGGAACCGAAGGATTTTGAAGGATTCCGGCATGCGCGCGCGACGACGCGCGCGTGTGCGCTTCGTCCCGTTTTTTGCCAGGGATTCGCGAAAAAGTCTTATGTTAGAGCAAAAATTGTCACCGCAGAGTGTTTTCTTTTACAAGGGAACCTTAGGGGGGAACCAGGTTTGGCTGGGATGGTATGATTTCATATTTAGGATGGACGAGTGTGCAATATATATATATATATATATATATATATATATATATATATATATATGAAATCATACTATCCCAGGGGGAGCCGATAAGTCCGCGGGGGGAGGGTAGAATCTATTGATCTTTCAGAAAGGAGAATCCACTCTGCTGAACTTGAAGTCGTCATCTCCACTGCTCTCGCAAACATCCCACTCACCCACCCGCAACTTGGTTTGCAAAACCTCTTAAGACCGACTACGGCGACACCGACGACAGCGACTACGACGACACCGACGACGTCTCCGACGACTTCGACGACGACAACGACGCCGACGACGACGACGAAGACGACGACGACGGCGCCAACGAAGGCGACGACGAGGGAGGAGGAGGAAGGACGACGACGGCGACAACTACGACAACGACGACAACGACGAGGGAGGAGGGAGGACGGCGACGACGCGAACGACGAAGGAGGAGGAAGGACGGCGACGCCGACGACGACAACGACGAGGGAGGAGGGAATACGACGACGACGACGACGACGACGACGACGACGACGACGACGGCGACGAAATAGGAGGGACGACGACGAGACGCCGACGACGGACGACGACGACGAGGGAGGGAGGAAGAGGAAGGACGACCACGGCGACAACAACGACGGAAACGACCACGACGCCAAAGAGGACGACGACGACGAACACGAGGAAAGACAGAGGACGACGTAGGCGAAGACGACGACGACGACGACGCGGGAGGAGGGAGGACGGCGACGACGACGACGACGCAAGAGCGTGCGCGCGCACGCTTTTGTTGAAAATCCGTGTTGCGAGAATTTGGGTTTTTGTAGGTTTTTTGGACACACGATTTTGAAATCCTTCCGGAACCGATGGGTTTCGAAGGGTTTCGGCATACGCCCGCGACGACGCGCGCGTCTGCACTTCGTCCCATTTGTTGCAGAGGATTCCCGCGACGGCACACGCGCCAGGGCGTTCGACAGGTTTGGACATGCGCGCGCGAAGCCCGTTTGGTAGCATTTTGTGAAAATCTTGAAAAACGCATGGTTTTCTTAAGATTTCGCAAGAGCTCGCGCGTAAGCTTTTTTAGGAAATCAGTGTTGCGAAACCATGTGTTTTTGCATGATGTTGGAACCTCGATTGCGGAATCCTTCTGGCACCGAAGGTTTTTGAAGGATTTCGGCATGCGCGCGCGACGACGCGCGCGTGTGCATTTCGTGCAAGGGATTCGCGAAAAAAGTGTTATGCTAGAACCAAAAATGTCACCGCATACTGTTTTTCTTCTTCACAAAGGGAACCTCAGGGGGGGATACCGGTTGGCATTTGACATTGCGATTTCATATTTAGGATGGACATGTGGTTAGAGTCATATATGATTTACATACCCGAAAGGTGAAGTGATAACTTCGGGGGGGGGTAGATCCTACTCTGTTTTTAGTGATTTCTATTCATGATTTCACACGTTCCGCGCTCTTGCAAAAATCCCACCCACCCACCCGCAACTTGGTTTGCAAAACCTCTTCAGACCGACGGCGACGACACCGACGACAACGACTACGACGACACCGACGACGTCTCCGACGACTTCGACGACGACAACGACGCCGACGACGACGAAGACGACGACGAAGCCGACGACGACGACGAAGGCGACGACGAGGGAGGAGGAAGGACGACGACGGCAACAACGACGACAACGACGACAACGACGAGGGAGGAGGGATGACGGCGACGACGCGAACGACGAAGAAGGAGGAAGGACGGCGACGCCGACGACGACAACGACGAGGGAGGAGGGAAGACGACGACGACAACGACGAAGACGACGACGACGGCGACGAAATAGGAGGGACGACGACGAGACGCCGACGACGGACGACGACGACGAGGGAGGAGGAGGAAGGACGACCACGGCGACAACGACAACGGAAACGACCACGACGCCAAAGAGGACGACGACGACGAACACGAGGAAAGACACAGGACGACGTAGGCGACGACGACGACGACGACGACCACGCGGGAGGAGGGAGGACGGCGACGACGACGACGACGACGACGACGACGCAAGAGCGCGCGCGCACGTATTTGTTGGAAATCCGTGTTGCGAAAATTTGGGTTGCTGTAGGTTTTTTGGACCCACGATTTTGAAGTCCTTCCGGAACCGATGGGTTTTGAAGGATTTCGGCATACGCGCGCGACGACGCGCGCGTCTGCTTTTCGTCCCATCTTTTGCAGAGGATTCTCGCGACGGCACACGCGCAAGGGTGTTCGACAGATTTGGACATGCGCGCGCGAAGCCCGTTTGGTAGCAGTTTGTGAAAATCTTGAAAATGGCATGGTTTTCTTAAGATTTCGCAAGAGCTCGCGCGTAAGCTTTTTTAGGAAATCAGTGTTGCGAAACCATGTGTTTTTGCATGATGTTTGGAACCTCGATTGCGGAATCCTTCCGGCACCGAAGGTTTTTGAAGGATTTCGGCATGCGCGCGCGACGACGCGCGCGTGTGTACTTCGTCCCATTTTTCGCAAGGGATTTGTGAAACAAAAGTGTTATGGTAGAATCAAAATGTCACCGCATAGTGTTTTTCACCAGGGAACCTCAGGTGGGGATACCGGTTGACATTTGACATTGCGATTTCATATTTAGGATGGACATGTGGTCAAAATCATGTATGATTTACATACCCAAAGGGGGAGTGATAACTTCGGGGGGGGTAGATCCTATTATGTTTTTCCATTCTGCTGAACTTGAAGTCGTCATCTCCACTGCTCACGCAAACATCCCACCCACCCACCCGCAACTTGGTTTGCAAAACCTCTTCAGACCGACGACGACGACACCGACGACAACGACTACGACGACACCGACGACGTCTCCGACGACTTCGACGACGACAACGACGCCGACGACGACGAAGACGACGACGACGACGACGCCAACGAAGGCGACGACGATGGAGGAGGAAGGACGACGACGGCGACAACGACGACAACGACGACAACGACGAGGGAGGAGGGAGGACGGCGACGACGACGACGACGCAAGAGCGCGCGCGCACGCTTTTGTTGAAAACCCGTGTTGCGAAACCGTGTGCTTTTGTATGTTCTTTGGACACACGACGACGGCGACAACGACGAGAACGAACGACGACGAAGACGACGACGACGGCGCCAGCGAAGGCGACGACGAGGGAGGAGGAAGGACGACGACGGCGACAACTACGACAACGACGACAACGACGATGGAGGAGGGAGGACGGCGACGACGCGAACGACGAAGAAGGAGGAAGGACGGCGACGCCGACGACGACAACGACGAGGGAGGAGGGAAGACGACGACGACAACGACGACGACGACGACGGCGACGAAATAGGAGGGACGACGACGAGACGCCGACGACGGACGACGACGACGAGGGAGGGAGGAGGAGGAAGGACGACCACGGCGACAACGACGACGGAAACGACCACGTCGCCAAAAAGGACGACGACGACGAACACGAGGAAAGACACAGGACGACGTAGGCGACGACGACGACGACGACCACGCGGGAGGAGGGAGGACGGCGACGACGACGACGACGACGACGCAATATGTTGGTGCAATGTGTTGCTTGTCCCCTATGGGATGCAGTGTATGTGGTGCAGTATTTGTTGTGCAGTCTATGTGGCGCAGTCTATGTGGTGCAGTTCACTTTGACTGTCTTGAAGCTGCCTTCTCCACTGCGCGTGCAAACATCCCACCCTCCCGCCCGCAACTTGGTCGCAAGACTTCTTAAGACCGTGACGGTGGGTACCAAATGGCACTTTGCAACGACAGCGACGCCGCCGACGACAGCGACAGCGACGACGACGACGCCGACCACGATTACGACGACACCGACGACGTCTCCGACGACTTCGACGACGACGACAGCGATGACGACGACGACGACGACGACGACGACTACGACACTGATGACGACGACGACGCCGACGACGACGCCGACGACGACGACGACGACGACGACGATGACGACGCCGACGCCGACGACGGCGACGACGACGCCGACGACGAGGACGGCGACGACGACGACGACGACGCGAACGACGACGCGAACGACGAAGAAGAAGGGAGGAGGGCGACGCCGACGACGACAACGACGAGGGAGGAGGGAAGACGACGACGACGACGACGACGATGGCGACGAAATAGGAGGGACGACGACGAGACGCCGACGACAGACGACGGCGACGACGAGGGAGGAGGAAGGACGACGACAGCGACAACGACGACGGAAACGACGACGACGCCAAAGAGGACGACGACGACGACGATGAAAGAAAGATGACGACGACGGCGACGACGACGACGACGACGAGGGAGGAGGGATGACGGCAACGACGACGACGACGACGCAAGAGCGGGCGCGCACTCTTTTATTGAAAATCTGTGTTGCGAAACCCTGTGTATTTGTAAGTTTTTTGGGCACTCGATTTTGACATCCGTCCGAAACCGAAGGTTTTTGATGAATGTCGGCATGCGCGCGCAACGACGCGCGCGCGTGCACTTCGTCCCGTTTTTTGCAAAGGATTCTCGCGACGGCAAGCGCGCAAGGGCGTTCGAACGATTTCAACGTGCGCGCGCGAAGCCCGTTTGGTAGTCTTTTGTGTTTGCAAATCTTGAAAACCCCATGGTTTTCGCAAGAGCGCGCGTGTAAATTTTTCGAAACTTTCGAAAATCAGTGTTCGAAACCCTGTGTTCTTGTATGTGTTTGGAGAGTCGATTTTGAAATCCTTCCGAAACCGAAGGTTTTCAAAGGATTTCGGCATGCGCGCGCGACGGCACGCGCGCGTGCACTTCGTCCCATTTGTTGCAAGTGACGATTGGAAACTTATGGCTTTTGACCAACGAGTGTGTGCGCTGTCACTTTTTCCAGAGGATGGCGGGGGCGGGCCGATACTGCTTTTGGCTGGGATAGTATTAACTCACAGGTAGGATGGACATTGGGTCAGAATCCTATGTATTTTGCATCGGTTCCCGGGGAATCGTTAACCACGGGGGGGAGGGTGGTAGAACCTATTCTTTCAAAAAAAGGAGGCTCTATGCTGTGCAACGCATGCGGTGCAATCAATCTACGTTCTGGTGGCGACGGCGGCGACGGGGCGGCGACGGCGACAATATAGCTGCCAGGTCGACAGACAGGCCCAGACGACGGGCGGCACGGGGGCGGCGACGGCGGCAACATAGCCGCCAAACCGACCGTCAGGCCCAATTTCAGACCAGAAGTAGGAAACCCTAAGTGCAAGCACTGTTCGGGAAACAGTCGTAATTATCCTCGTCCTTCTCATCCCCCCGCTCGGAGAGGAAGAGTACCAACGAGGAAAGGTCAAAGAAGCAGGGAGCGTTTGGAAAAGGAGGAGGAGGGGGAAGGAGACGAAGCACGAGCAAAACGCGGCGCTGACGTGCAAGCAGAGAATAGAGAATACACAAGTGGGCAGATGAAGCGAAGAGGGTCCACTTCCACACCTGCCGAAGGCATCAGGAGGCCCCTGGAGGCCAAAGAAGGGCCAACATCGTCCAGACAGGTTGCCCCCCCGACGACGAAGGCGACAACGACGACGACGACGACGACGACGACGACGACGACGACAACGATGGCGGCGGCGGCAGCGGCGACGACGACAACGACGACGACGACGACGACGATGATGACGGCGGCCGCCGCGGCGACGACGACGAGAGGTACCCGCGACGCCGCCGACGGAGCCGCGGAAGCTGGGCACGCTGAAGAGCTTCTCCGCGGGGCAGGGCTACGGCTTCATCTCGTGCGAGGAGGCCACCAACCCGGCAGAACGCAAAACATGGGGGGTAAGGGAGAAACATATAGTATAACAGAAAGAAGAGGACGAGGGATGGTGGGCAGGGCGACAAGAAAGCGGAGGAAAGCGAAAAGGAGGAGAAGTAAGAGGAGGAGGAGGAGGAGGAGGAGGAGGAGGAGGAGGGCGCCGAGGAGGAAGGAGAGAAAAGAGGAGGAAGGAAGGGTCGGGGAGAATGGGGAAGAAGGGAAGAAGAAGGTCCAGGAGTAAGGCACTCTTCCTCGGGCCAGGGCCAGGAAGAAAGAAGAATGGAATGAGGAGGGCGTGGTGGTGGAGGATCGACAGGCCTCCGACGTCGTGATTTGTTTTTCATCGATGGTGGCCTCCGGATTTATCCAGTGCCTCGGAAATCGGTCTTCGCGTAATGGGGGGGCGATGAAGGTGGGGGCAGCGAGGGTTCAGAAGTCGATCTCGGGAGCCTTTTGTTTTCAATCAGACTGGCTTTCCTTCGCATCCAGTGGTCCGCAGATGTTTGCTGTTGCCATTAGAGGCCACGGGGGAGATCATTCAGCTCAGCGATCTGGCCCCTGAGCGTCTCCATGGAGACGCTCGGGGGCCAGATCGCTGAGCTGAAGGGCCTCAGGGGGCGCCGGGGCCTGTGGGATCCAGATCGATCCGTGGGTAGCGGGGGGCCAAGTCGGGAGGCCTGGGATGACGACGGATCGCTCTGGCGGCGCCTGATAGATCCTCCGGGCCCGGCGGCTCTCTGAGATCCCGGGTGTATCTCAATATGATGTTGTCGCCGCCCCGCCCTCGTCTTCCAGGGGATGTGGTAGTGGATGGTCATGCAGACCATCTTGCACCGAAGAGAGCAGCGAAGCAGAGGAAGAGGAGACGGAGGAGGAGGAGGAGGAGGAGGAGTGTGGGAAGCGCACTGTGGAGAAAGCGAGAAGGGCAGACCAGGAGTACAGGGAGGTGGCGGAGGAGGTGCATTGTCGAGGTGACGAAGTAAGGAAATGAGGGAAGAGGATTGCCGTTGCAGGTGACGCTCTCAGCATGGGGATGGCTTTCAGTATGACCTGTTTATTCCTGTTCTTTTCTTGAACAGGCTATACCTCTCCAGGTGTAGCGTTGCTACTGCTAGTTGCAGCATTCTGTCTTCAGGGAGAGGATGAAGTTTTTTGGACGTCGTGGCTTTTTGGAGCATCCACAGGCCTCTGGGGGGTGGGGGGCAGAGGCCTCCAGGGACCCCGCTGCGGTAGGTTGGGTCGACCAGCGGCGACCCCGCAGCCAGTGTTCAACGTTGAGCGCCGCTTGCGGCCCAGAGTCGGTCGACGCTGAACGATCTGACGTTTCGGAGGTGGCCGATCGTTCGAGGTGGAAAGATCCCCGCGGTGTCGGGAACCAACGCCGGGGTGGGCACGACACGACCCCGCGGTACTTGCGAGGAGGCGCGCGTTACGGCGGATGTCCAGTACTAGTTGATACGATCTGCGTGCCGTAATGCGTGTCATGTTCCTTGCGAGCCCCTGCCTCTGCATCATGGGCTCTGGTGCGGACGGATGGTGATAACAAACTGTGCGCGCTGCAAAAAAGAATGCGTGGAGGCGCACGTGACGCATGGAAGATGCGAGAGGCCCCGCAGTATCGGTTAACTTTCGGGGCGTTGTTAAGGTGAGGACGCACGGAGGGTTTCCACGGCGGTGAACTACCTCCTCCTCCTCTTCCTCCTCCTCCTCCTGCTCCTCCTCCTCCTCTTCCATTCCTTTTCCTTGTAAATAACTTCCCCCTGTCGCACCCCGAGGCCAGTTTTTCGGGCCGTGCGTTTCGCCTGAGACTTCCTCACCACTTGTGACCCTGAAGCTTAAAAATTGGCAATTGGCAACAGCTTCACGGATGGAGGGCGGGTCGTTTACAAAATGTGGTTCTCGCCTTAGCGCCGCACGCATTCGTTCTTGAAAATTGCAAGAGTTTCACGGATTGAGGGCGAATGGTTTTCAAAATGTGACTCTCGCTTTCGCGCCGCGCGCTCTCTTTTTAAGAATGTGCGAGAGTTGCACGGATTGAGGGCGGTTTCTGTTCAACATGTGGTTCTCGCTTTAGCGCCGCTCACATTCATTTTTAAAATTTGCAAGAGCGGGCGGTTCCTTTTCAAAATGTGGTTCTCTCCTTAGCGCCGCGTACACTCGTTTTTTTATGTGCAAGAGTTTCACGGATTCCCATGATCAGCGTACCAAAAACGACGTGTTGGAAGGATTATGGATTATAAGGTTGTAACAGTTACGTTGATTCGCGGTGTTGAAGTCGCACGAATGGCGTTCTGGCACGATGCAGGATCGTCAAGACATAACAGTCAGGTTGATATGTGGCGCTGGAATCCCAAGAACGATGTGATGGCATGTTTCAGGGTCTTCCAACGGTTGTCTTGCGGAACTAAGCCCGTGTAGGGGCCTATGAAGAGGGAGCTTGGAGGGAGTGTTTATTCCAATATCGTTGATGATTCTTGGGTTTACATTGGTCCTCCTCCTCCTTCTCCTCCTCCTCCTCCTCACTCCTCCTCGCGTCGTGTCGACCAGCGGCAACCCCGCCGCCAGCGTTCAAAGTTGAACGCCGCCGGCGACCCACGATCGGTCCATGTTGAACGGGCTGACGTCCCTAAGGTGTCAGGAACCAACGCCGGGGTCGGCACGACACGAGCCTGCCGAAGACAGACTTGCGGGCACACCTCATCAGGCCCCAATAGAGGTAGACTTAAGTCGGGCGTGTCCCCCCACAGTCGGCCCGGATTAGTAGGTCGGCCCTGCCAGCTCAAGGGTACCCTTGTGTCTTGTGCGTCGCGACACGTGCCTTCTTACACTCCTATGGCGATGTGGCCCTCGGAAGGGTCTTGTGTCCTCTCGCGTGTCCTGTCCAATCAAGGCCGACTGTACAGGGGAAGATTCAAAATAGCATTCAAAAACAGCAAATGTTCGCATAATTGTTTTGCATCATTTGTTTTGATATGTTTTGACTGTTTTTCATTTTTCGTCCAAGGTCCGCCTGTAGGAGGACATGCCCGACGTAAAGCTAGGCCAGGGAAGCGGCTAGTCATCCATGGTAGCGCCTGGCCCGAGAAGCAGGCGAGGCACACGAGGCACAGCGCACGTGAGAACAGGGCGCGAAGGTGTTCTGGGCATCGCTCGGACGTGTGTGTCTGTGTGTATTTATTTTTCCCTCGGCGAGGACCTCCGCGGACCACCTCCTACTCCTCCTCCGCCTCCTCCGCCTCCTCCTCTTCCGCCTCCTCCTCCTCCGCCTCCTCCTCTGCCTCCTCCGCTCCTGACCGTAGCGGAGGCTTCTCCTCCTCCTCCTCCTCTTCCTCCTCCTCCTCCTCCTCCTCCTCCTCCTCCTCGTCATCCTCCTCCTCCTCCTCCTCCGCCTCCTCCTCCGCCTCCTCCTCCGCCTCCTCCTCCGCCTCCCCCTCCTCCGCATCCTCCGCCTCCTTCGCCTCCGTGTGCAGTTTCCCGCGGCATTTGGGATCAGCTTGCGAAGAAAAGAAGCGCCCGAAGCCGAAAAATGTTCGGGGAATGGACGTGCGAGCGATGGCAAGTGCGTAAGATCACGCCGTGGGCCCCTCTGGTGGTACACGGCACCGAAGCTGGGAGGGGGACGGAGGAGCCAGCAAGGGGGGGAAAGAAGATTGGCCAGGCCATTCCCCGCCCCCCCAAAAAAAGAGAGGAGAGAGAGAGAGAGAGAAGAGAGAGAGAGAGAGCAAGGTGTTCCAGATGCACCAGCGCGACACGTACTTCGACAAGGGGCAGATTCCACCTGGGAGCCCGCCTCTCTTCCCGGGCTCGTGCGGAGGGAGGGGTGGAGGAGGGGGGGAGGAAAACGAGCTGAGGAAAGGACAGAGCGAACGAAGACAGAGCGAAGGAAAGCCGAAGACAAAACGAAAGCGGAAGACACCGTTCAGCTCGAGCCTTGCTCTCCTCCGCGGCCAGAGAAGGAGGAACAGCAGCCGCAGCACCAGTGCGGGGTTGAGGGGAGGAAGGGCAGCACGAGCGGCGCGTGCATTTTTCCGCGGCGAGGACCATCGAGGAGCATCCTGGATCCTCGAGCCTTAGAAAAGACACGCACAAAACCAAAAATGCACAGGGAATGGACGTCCGAGCGATGGCAATCTGCGGGATGGGGGAGATAGAGCAGGCGAAGGTAAAGCAAGCGCCCGCGCCCCCAAGAGATAATAGTCTGGGTGGGGGGGGATGCACGGTTCCCAGAAGCGGCCATACAAAAGAAACCGGGGAAGCATGGCGAGTTGCGACTCTCGTGTTACATCCGTTTTCGGCATGGAATCGCGTTGTTTGGATAGCGCAGTCGAGTTACCGGAAGCATGCGTCATCGCCATTTGAGGCGTCATTGTGAAGGCTTGACGGCTGGTGCCGCCGACCCTGAAAGACATCGACGACGACCAGGAGGGGGAGGAGGAGGAGGAGAAGGAGCAGACGGATATTAGGAGAAGGAGGAGGAAAAGGACTCCCCCCCTGGCCCCCCTCCCAGGGAGGAGGACCAGAGGAGGACTGGCGTGAGAGAGAGGAAGGGAGGGGGAGGAGGAACCCCAGGGACGGATGCGTATCTGACTCCCCCCCTCCCCCTTGGGACTACTCTCCACCTGGGGAGGAGGACCCGAGGAGGACCGGCGCGCCAGAGAAGGAAAGGCGTAGGAGAGAAGGACCCCCAGAGGCGATGCGAATCTGACCCCCCCCCCCCCCCCGGGACACCCCCTCCCCCCGCCAGGGAAGGGACAAAGAGAAGGGGCTTCCCTTTGACGTAATGAGGACGTGGATGGAATTCCCTCAAGCTGCGAACCCGTTCCCCGAACGAGGAAGGGTGCTGTCTCTCTTTCTCCCCCGACGGGAAGGAGGATGGGAAGGAGGGGACGAAAAAAGGCTCCCCGTCGACGGGACCCGGACAGACCCCACACACGCCGACAGGGTCGGTGGATTTCTTCTACTTGTTTGGACAAGGGCACGCTGAAACCAGATAACCATCAAGCTATAAGTGCGCAGTTGCTTCCTGTCTGACTCTGGGACGTGTCGAAAAACGTCTAGATTCGAGCTTCGGCGGCGACGGCTTACGTAACAAATGATTAATAGGAACAAGCATGCACACATGCACACATACAGCAGTTCACGCGGCATGCATTGGAAATCATATCACGTTGCATGGGGCCGTTCTCTCACACACGGTTTTTCCCAACCATCCTGTGGTGTTGGGTCCCCTTTTGAAGTGACAGCGCCCCGCGTTCCTTCTTCTCCTCCTCCTCCCCCTCCTCCCTCATCCCCCCTCCCTCCTGCGCCACTCGCATGCGTCTCCCCCGCCCAGTACAGCGCTTCGTGGCCCCACAGGAGGCTCCACCGAAGGTCCCAGTGGCGCAGCCCGCATGCGTCTCCCACGCAGTACAGCGCGTCGTGGCCCTGTAGGGGGCTCCACCGAAGGTCCCAATGGCGCAGCCCGTATGCGTCTCCCACTCTCAGTACAGCGCTTCGTGGCCCCATGGGGAACTCCACCGAAGGTCCCAGTGGCGCAGAATGAATGCGTCTCCCCCACCCACTACAGCTTTTCGTGGCCCATAGGGAGCCCCACCGAAGGTTCCAGTGGCGCAGCCCGCATCCGGCTCCCACACCCACTACAGCGATCCGTGGCCCCATAGGGAGTTCCACCGAAGGTTCCAGTGGCGCAGCCCTCATGCGTCTCCCACACCCAGTACATCGCTTCGTGGCCCCATAGGGAGCTCCACCGAAGGTCGCAGTGACGCAACCCGCATGCGTCTCCCACACTCAGTACAGCGCTTCGTGGCCCCATAGGGAGCTCCACCTAAGGTCCCAGTGGCGCAGCCCGCATGCGTCCCCCCCACCCAGTACAGCGCTTCGTGGCCCCATAGGGAGCTCCACCAACGGTCCCAATGGCGCAGCCCGCATGCGTCTCCCCCACCGTGGCTCCATAGGGAGCTCCCCTCCTGCGCCATTCGCATGCGTCTCCCCCGCCCAGTACAGCGCTTCGTGGCCCCACAGGGGGCTCCACCGAAGGCCCCAGTGGCGCAGCCCGCATGCGTCTCCCACACCCAGTACAGCGTTTCGGGGCCCCTTAGGGGGCTCCACCGAAGGTCCCAATGGCGCAGCCCGCATGCGCCCTTCCCACTCAGTACAGCACGTCGTGGCCCCATAGGGAGCTCCATCAAAGGTCCCAATGGCGCAGCCCGCATGCGTCTCCCACACCCAGTACAGCGCTTCGTGGCCCCATAAGGAGCTCCACCAAAGGTCCCAATGGCGCAGCCCGCATGCGTCTCCCACACCGAGTATAGCGTTTCCTGGCCCTGTAGGGGGCTTCACCGACTGTCCCACTGGCGCAGCCCGCATGCGTCTCCCCCCCGAGTACGACGCTTCGTGGCCCCATGGGGAGCTCCACCGAAGGTCCCAGTGACGCAGCCCGCATGCGGATCCATCACCCAATACAGCGCTTCGTGGCCCCATAGAGAGCTCCACCGAAGGCTCCAGTGGCGCAGTCCGCATGCGTCTCTCCCACCCAATACAGCGCGTCGTGGCCCTACACGGGGACTCCACCAAAGACGATATTTACAACTGCGGTAGTCACAACTGCATCCGGTTGGGTCTTTCGCCAGTCTAGTTTATGCTGCCCTTCCAATCAGCTGGGAAGCTGGGTGGTTTCATCATTCCTTTCGACAATGATGGGAAAACATATGCTGAATGGTGTGGCAACGATGCTCCGCCCAGGAATAGCATGGCGAGTTCCGTAGCCCAGGGGCATCGTCGCCGCCATTGCCCCTGGAGGCTCCAAGACGTCACCAGTGGTCGCCGGGGGCCCAGAACTCCCCCTCTTGGAAAACCGAGGCGTTGCAGAATCAGCGACCTCCCCCCCCCGCCCTCGCTCCCCCCCTCCCCCTCCTCTGCGCAGGCAAAGGCCGCAGGCGCACAGAGGGGCGGCAACGGTGGGGACGTCGGTTTTGAGGAACGTGCTGGGGAGGCTTCAGACCCTGGAGGAGCTCTTGCAGCATAAGGGGGTTAGGAACTGGGTCAGGGGAAGGGGGGAAGGCTTCTTAGAAGGAGGCCGCTTCTTAGAAGGCAGCGTCCTTAAGTCTGTAAGCAAGGCCTGCGACTCCTAAGAAGCGAGGGTGTCTCTAAGAAACTCCCCCCCCCTCTCCCTACAACCCTCTGCGCGTGGCCGGCCGACGAGGGCGGCGGTGATGTACCCCATGGCCAACCCACGATTCGGAGATCTCCAGACCCTGGACCCCTTATCCAGTGATTCCTTGCCCAATGCGTTCGCCGTGGGAGTCAGACGGGTCGCCGCGGCGACCCGAGCATGCCCTGCTAGCTAACAAAGGCCCCAGTAGCAGGCGCGCGGACAAGCCCTCCCCGCCCTCGCTTCGTCCCCAGACGTGCTCGCGTCTTGAAAACATCAGGACCAGAGGTTTTCCCGTTTTCGGCCTCTGGGGGCCTTTACTGGGCCCCGGCGCCGTCAAAAAAGATTCAGGATGCAAAACCAGCTCCAGGGAAAGGGTCGGGAGGTCCGAGGACCCCCTGTTCAAACAAATGGACTGTCTGGGTCTGGTTTCCCGCATGTGAAGCCCAGTGCAGGGCCGAAGCGCTTGCACGCCGAGACGCAAATTATGCCCCGCGTCGCTCTCTGGGCCTCTCACCCTGCGTCGCTCCGACGGGCCTCTCAGAAGATAGAGGAGCTTGTCCATGGGCCCGCGTTCTCGTCTCATGGGGCCAACATCGCAGAGCGGATTTCGGTCGGAAAACCAAAGGATGGGCCCAGAGTGTCCTGGAGAATTTCGCTCCGGATGCTGAAGTGAATGTCGCGCGGCTGTTTGGCCAGGAGTGAAGACCACCAAAAATCCCTGTGAAGCTCACTTCGCTTTTCGCTCGCCGCTTCTGGAAAGCAATCCACTCGAAAATCCCCTGCAGCACGTCTGCAAAGCCGGTGCAGCGATTCGCCGTCCGTGCCCGGGCAGGGCGCGCGCTGCCAGAGCGCCCCAGCTGCCCCGCGCCGCGTCCTGCCTCGGCCCGCGGAGCGGTCCCTGCACGCAGGTCCGTCGCGGCCTCCGCGGGGCAGCACCGAGGGCCTCGGCGGCGGCAGGGGCGGGGCTCCCCCGGCCTCCCCCCCCCCCCCAGACCCGCCAAGGTCGCGATTTCGTTCACAACGTTGCCCCCCAGAGGTCTGGACCCCTTCCTCGGGGCCGGTTTTTCGTCCCAAGTCGTTCCTGGACGGTCCCGAGGCCCGGCAAGGGCCCCCAGGGGCCGAAAATGGCGAAAGACTTCCCGTCGTGATTTTTTCACGACGCGAGGAGGTCTGGGCCCTCCTCCCTCCCGGCCAACAGATCCAACTGGAACTACGGGCAGACGCTGGAGTTCACCCTCTCCCTGAACCAGCGGAAGCAGCCACAGGCGCTCTCGGCGCCAAAGCTCGGCGAACTCCCCCCCTGCCCACCCTTGATCCTCCCTTCCCCATCCCTCTTGCCTCTTCCCTCTATCCCTCTTTCCTCTTCCCCACCCTCCCTCCTCCCTCGCTCACCCCTTTTCCTCCCCTCCCTCTGTCCTCCCTCCCTCCCTCCCTCTTCCTTCATCCCTTCAACGAGTCGTTCGGAGAAGGACGAAGACTGGATTGTTTGTTGCGGAAGCCCGCAGTTCAACCAAGCACCTTATAATCTTAAAGATTCCGAATTCGCAGCGAATGACTTGCGTATGTGTTTGGATGAGCGTCCCCCATCCCTCGTCTCTTCATCCTCCCTGCCTCCCTCCCTTTCCCCCCCATCCATCTTTCCTGATCCCTCCCTTCGTGAGTTTCTCATCCATCTTCCCTCTCACCCTCCTCCATCGTTCCTCCTTCCTCCCTCCTCAATCCATCCCATCCTCCCTCCCTCCATTCCCACGGTGGTGACCATCAAAG